AATTAAAATGATGAGATCTTCAACTCTGCCACTTCCACGTCAGCACCATTTCTTTTTGTCCGTGCCATCATCTCCAAACCATACATTATAGTGGATCTCACTACCATCTTGTAAATCTTCCCTTTCACTCTTGCTTGGTGTCCTTCTGTAACAAATCACCCCTGACACTCCTCTCCACCCACTTCACCCTGCCTGCACTCTTTTTCCTCTCTCTCGTGCAGTGTCCTTTGCTTTAGATAGCTGACCCAAGTTATTTAAACTCATCTACCCGCACTATCTCTACTCCTTAGACATTCACAATTCAAACACATGTATTCTGCTGTGCTTCTACACACCTCCACTTCTCTCCAGAGCATACCTTCGTCTCTCCAGGCTCTCTTCCACCGGCTCGCTACTCTCACTACAGATCACAATATTATCTGCAAACATCACAGTCCACAGAGACTCCTGCCTGTCCTCATCTGTCAGCCTCATACATCACCATTGCCACACTTACATACTTCTCTGATCCAGCCACAAGGGGGTCACATGCCGGTGTACATCTAGTGCCGGTCCAAGCCTGGATAAACAGGGAGGATTGTGAAAGGCCAGAATACTTTTTCCTCTGTTTCTGTCTACTGCCCTCACACAGACTTAACGTTATTTTATTAAGCATTTATTCGTGATTTATTACAAAGCAGTATTGACTTTGGCAGTTAGTGAATCAAAGGATTGCTATTACATGTATTAAAAGAAAGCTGGAGGTAGTGGCACAAATAATGGGGTCAAACAAGCAGAAGAATATAAACAGAGAATGACAAAAACAGAGTGACAAAGACCGAAGTAACATGAAGATAGACAGCTTAGATGCAAACAAGGGGGACAAAAAAACAAAAAAGGGAATCAAGTGGGAAGAAATAATAGCGGGAAGACAGAAACCTTCATCACAAAAGGCTGCCATGAAACAATGGTTCCCTGATGGAGGAGGCAGCTGTAAACATGAACACCCCCATTTGGCAGACCTGAAGGAAAGGGTTGGAGGAGAAGAGGTAGACATGAAGGGGGGTGGGGGGGGTGAGCAGGTGGGGTTAGAGACAGACAGACCCTGCCAAAGCAAGCCCCCATGACAAGCACCACCACCTCGTTAAACCTGTCCCCGGGAGTCACAGGCAGATGCTCTGCTTTTCCTATGATAATGACCGACCTGCTAAGCAGCTACCAGCGTCACGCTCCTGTGAACAACTATTGACCTCAAAGCTGTCACTCGCTTTCACGCCACTGCTGCTTCCAACTTGCCACACTCAGAAGGGGCTTGTTGCATCATTCGTTTTAATGCAGGCCTGGACATTTTAATACTGCCTGTTATCAAACGTTGTATTAAATCTCTTCCTGCCGATGCGGTCCTCAGAGGTTTTGTGCACTGCATGTGGACATCAGATACAGCGGCTACAGATTCGTGATCGTCAATTATGTCTTAAGAGCTTTGAAAACATGCTCCCCAGCCTGTGCAAATTGACATTAAGGATATGAAAGCATTACCCATTAATACACATTTATTCACCATTTTACATTTAGAAGACCCACCGCTGTCAAGCATCAAAGCGCAGTCAGCACATGGAGCCCATGAGTCAAGAGGAAGTAACTGGGGTGAGGGAGACACGGAGAGAGAGACAGACAGAGAGCAGCGGTTCTCTGAGGATTAGCTCATTTAGACTGCTTTGATCTGTGAGATCTTAATTGCTGGGTAGCACTGATAGAGTCCTCATGGAGACTTAGCAACACCATACAGGCGAGCAGGGAGGAGGGTGGCTGTGTTCTTACCTTCTCTTCTTCTCTTGTTTTACTGATTAACTCGTCTCAGTTCGACAGACCATTCAGCAATGGTGGCCTATGGCATACTTAGCAATCACTGCATGTGACTACAGCAAAAAGAATTAATGAGCATTTTTGACTTTGTCACCGATACTCACTAAGTCTTCTGTATAATTTCTTCTTTCCTTGATACCTTTCCTCATAATGACATTTTTGAAGCGTTAAAGTCAACCGCTCATACTTCTTCTACTCTCTTGTAGGCACAGAATTGATCATTTCCCTAGGGTTTTCAAATAGGTCATGTGACTCAGGGCCTTTCTCCTAGTGGGCCAAGTAACTGTAAGGACTTCCAAAAAACAAAAGCACTGTGGTCAGATTGAGTTATTTTCTAGCATATAAATTAATGAATTAAGCAAAACTACTGTTCATGTTTGCTCATGTTTCTAAATGAACAATCAATACAGTTTTTTGTTTTTTCTTATGAGGGCAACTTCCCCATAAAATCCCAGTAAGAGCACTAAAAAGAAGAATAACACATTATTTTCAGATTTTAATCAGAATGTTTTGCATGTATGAGGTGGAGCTGCCATCAGATCATATATGTCATGTTATAACAATTCAATTCATCCACCCATTTTCTTCCGCTTTTCCAATTCAGGGTCGTGGGAGGTTGCTGGAGCCTGTTCCAGCTGCTATGGGGTGAAGGGCTAACACAGGGAGAGATTCACTCTCACATTCATATCTACAGCCAGTTTAGAACTGGCAGTTAACTGAACCCATTGCATGTCTTTGGACCGAAGCCAGAGTACACAGAGTGAACTCACACAAGCTCTACATACAAAGGCCGCAGCTGTACGACCCCAGCCGGCAGATTTAAACCCTTCTTGCTATGACGCAACAGCGCTAACCACTGTGCCATCATGCTGCACCCCTACCCATCCATTTCCGTTCACTTATCCAATTCAGGGTCAGGTTTGGGTTTTCTCATAAGATCTGATAACTTTTTCAATCATTCCCTTTTTTCTTGTGAGACATTTTATATGCACCTTCCCTCAGTGAAGAAAAACATTAGCTGCAGTTTTAGTTTGTAAGAGGTTTCATGGTCAGAAGTCATCAGTTGAATGTAAATCATACTGTTAAACTCTCTCAGAGAGCCGAACCCCTTTGAGGGGACGTGAGAGCTCACTGTATTTGCAGTTTCAGCTTTTGCTAAACTCCCTTTTAGCCCCATATAGAGATCCAGAGGGACTGACAGGTGAAGACTGGGGTTAAGAAGATCATCCCAACAGATGAAGATGATGCAGGGCCTCCTTTGCTTTCTCTTTCTGCCTTTGTCCCTCTCTCATATCCATACACACTATCGTGTTTCTACCTGTTCTTTATCTCACCATACTCCATGCAGCCTTGTACATCCATTTCTCTCTCTCTCTCTCTGGCTGGTGTCCAACTTCTCTGTTGTCGCCTTTCATCTCCTTGGCTAAGACAAGAACAGACAGATTAAGGAGAGGAAGAGTATTAGGGGAGCCATTTTTTCTACCTCTTTCGTGATGGGAGGGTTACTGTTAGCTGAGCAGAACCCTCCCTCTGCTGGGTTTGGTCATTAGAGTGGCTGCAGAGCAGTGGGGGGAAAGAAAGCCTGAGGGAGTGTTTACATTACAAGAATACTGATACTGTGAGGCTCCAGTGTGTAAATCAATCCATTGTTATATTTGATAGAGAATTTCATCTATGGTAATATATGATCAGACTGTATAAAACAGCAGGAAATCCACATTCAGTGATTAAGAGAACTAGCTTACTGCATCACGGCATTAAAATAAACCGAAACCAGTAAAACGAACACACCTATAGATAAAAGAGCACTAGATGCAGGGTCATCAGGATCACAAGGGATTAACTGGAGCATTTGCTTAATTTGTTTGCTTAAAATACATAAATTTAGCTAAATGTAGCAAATTCTGACTTTTGAAGTCAGTGAATACAAGGTGGAAACAATAATGTGAACCATGTCATCTCTGTACCAGCAGTCCCTCGAGACTGCCTGATGTGCCCATCTGCACATCAATAAAGACCTTTCCGCTGATGTTGTGAAACTGTTTCTTTTAGATGGTATTTTGATGCAGTTGTTACCATCTCTTACTAACATGACACATAAGAGCTGCGAAGTATAGTAGTGTGTAGTGTCTACAGCTTAGACACAAGTTCAGCAGTGAAATGCTATTATAGGCACCCCTGTTTTTAGTAATGCTAACAAAGACTTTCTTATTTTATTTATTTAGGTTTTGGTTTTCCATCATTATTTACTCAGTAGGACATTTTTCTGTAATGCTGACCTATCAGCCAGCCCACAGTCCTATGACTGTTTTCTCTATAATAATTAATCTATAATCCACCTCCTACGCAATTATTCTAATGCCCACTTTGGGGTGCCTGAAGAAGCCCATCAATCCTGGCAGACTCCCATGTTTAATAACTTTAGCAAGACAAAATGCTAAAAAGACTTCAAAATGCAGGGTCAAAAACACTGTGCGACATCATACTGGCTATATCTTTTTTTTTTTTTACATATACTATATGATTATGACAAATACATGCATGTGACAAGTGTAAAAGAAAATCCTTGCATTTGCAAATACTGGAAATCCTGCAGTCACATTCTTTTACTTTAATTGAGCCATTGCGCTCAAGTTATAACTAATTTAGGACAAAGGATCAACAAATATAATTTCCAAGAGAGGAAATATGTTGCAAATTTTAGCCTGTACAATGCAAATTTGCTAAAAGTGGCACTATTTTGTGCCAAATTTCAGTGTGGCAAAGAAAAAAAAATACTGTTCTACATCTACATGTTCCTACATCATAACGGTTTTCAGTCGTCTTCCCTGTTCTGTTTGTTTGGACATTATTTGAGCACTGCCTGTTCTCCACTGCGCCTCCAAAAACCATATCAGACACAGCTGTGATTTGTGATGCAACCTCGCAGAGCCTTTGTTCCTGCAATGTAACATTTGTCCGAAGAGGGAATAATAGCCTATCCCATTTTAAAAGTGCAATTCAAAGAGCGTGCTTTTATTAAATATTTATGTCAAACACATGGTTAGTGGGGTATTAATGTTTGAAGGAAAACAGCATCACTTAACGCCCTTGTGCTACCTTGCTCTACAGTGAACAGCAGTTACATCACCCTTGAATCATTCATACTGAAACCAAAAAAAAAAAAAGAGAGAGAGTTGAGGTAAACACAAAATCCGTGGAATGCAAAAGGGCTCTCTGGTTTCCACAGTAAATGATCAAAAGATCAAGGAGCTCATAGTGAAGTATAGACCTATCCACACCACACATGTACTTTTAAAATGTATTTGGCTTTGTAATTCCTTTTATGCATACACTTTTTCTCTTTGATGTCTAAAAATGTATGAGTACTGGGCATTATATTTGCTCTAGTGTCATCAAATGGGAACACTGTGAAACCACCTTTTTCACTGTGACAAGTTGCCATATTCATTTGTAGTCTTGTAGGCCAGGAATAACCACGGCTGGAATAGGTTGATATTTTGGGAAATGCTTATAGAGTTCCTTGGTGAGTGTAACAGAGGACTGATAACTCTTGTGTCTTTCCACTAAATATGAACCTGCAGCCACAAGGAGGTTAGCTTAGCTTAGCATAAAGACTGGCTTCAGTAACGCAACTTGCTATGGAGATTTCAATACCCACCTACCAGCCCCTCTTAAGTTCTCTAACATCACTCGTCATCACTATGGGTTTGCCAGACAACCCACAGAGACATAAAAAAAGTCCCCACTGACAAGAAAGTCCAACACATATACAAGTAAAACCGCACATTGAATGTTTTACAGTTTTGCTTTATTACAAATTGAACAAATGAATTCTAACCTCTCAATAAGTGAGCCTTTATGCCAATGACTGTTTCATACTTTATATTAAACAGACTAAATTCAGACTGGTATTAACCTTCTCATCTAATTTTGCCAAAGGAGCAAATAAGTACATTTCTCAAAATGTCAAACTATAGCTTTTCAGGCTAAACAGATTTTTAATGATTTTCATCAACTCAATGTTTATTGAAGGCTGCACTTAAAGTTGAGGTGATTATTTAAATAAAACAGTATTTAAAAGGACAGGAATCTAATTTGGGAGATGTAGCTTTATCAGTGGCGTCCTATGGCCACATAATCAGCTGTTTCTCTGCAGATGTGCATCACTTCAGCGTCCACAGGTCCACTGACTGACAGATCAGTCCATCATGGTTCCATCCTTTTTCTCCATGTTCCACCCCTTTTTAAAATTAGGGTCAAATTCAAAGTTTGGCAGTTACAGTTTTATCAAAGGTTTGTGTCCACGCAGTTTGGAATGCAAAAAACAAGATTAAAGAGAACTGAACGCAAATATCGACACAGCCATGAGGGCTATAGTGTTCCAGGAAGAGTCAAAAACTTCTCAACACTTTCACTTTAATTTGGTACCTGAGCAGGGCACTATCAGCAGAATCTGTGGTCCAGCTAGATGATTGAGCCTTGCTGACCTCGATACGTGACAACAACGAAAGGCAAGACTCATACCAGATGATGGAGTCATCAATAATAAGAGAAGTTGAGTGGGAGAGGAAGGGAAGGGGGAGGGTTATCTAGGCACAGCACATGTACTTCCCAGTGGGCCGCAGGGGCAGACAGGACTGCGTAGAGGTAAGATATGGCATGACGCTCCTGGAATCTGTGATTTGACATTTCTGTGTGAGAGTCTGTCAGAGGACAGGAGAAGGTTTTTAAGGGCACTGCCACCTCCTCTTGTGTCCAAGTCTCTGGATTTTTATCAAAGAGAGATATGACTGTGGGCCCAGACAGTGGCAGAGCAGCATGGCGTTCACTGGAGGGTTTCAGCCTGAATGGGTGCTGAATACACGTTCCAACAAGCGAAGTCAGTCCTCCTCCTCCACATAAGTAGAGGGAAACCATCCCACCTAAGAAGAGAAAAGTAGCATCTAGATCAGCATTTCAAATTCAACCAGACCTCCGCTGATCTTGTGAAGAATTCTTCTCCTGTCACAATGTACAGACTGTTATATGTAGTCTTGATCAGGATGGGTCAATAATTCTGACAATTTGGAGGTGAGTACAAGAGATAATTCATTGTTAACTCTAGGATGAGTGGTAACTGTGATACTGTGCCTGCATGGCAGGGTTGGAGAAGTGTGTTCACAAGCAGTGCCATACTCAGATGTGAGCAAATTTAGTGGCGAGTCGTTGTGCATCGAATTGCATAACAACTGATACTTTGGCTAAACAAACCTGGTAAAAAAAATAATAAATTAACTGACGGACGTTTTGTTGTGCCAATGTGACATGTCCCATTAAAACTAAGGAGCTTTTTTCCATTTAACTATAGATGAAGTGGTTCACCCTTCATGACATGCACACTCACAAGCTCCCTGCCAAACAGCCATTTACTGATTCACCCTTTTTAATTTAATTTTTAATACAAAATATTTGTGAAATATTTATTTGTTGTCCCACTTTGAAACAAGTAAAAAAATCCTGCCAGCTGCAAAGAGCAAGTTTGTCAAAGACATACCCTGCCACCGACTACTCCCTTCCACCACCCATTGGGCATCTTGGTGTAGATAGTGATAACGTCTCCCTGTTGCAGAGAAAGCTCCCGCGTGTCTCTGGAGCAGAAGTCGTAGCGTGCAATTGCATAACCCACCACTCTAGGAGAAAAGACTGAAACAGAGAGAGATCTTATATTACTTTTGGACCCATTTACAAAATTTCACCTTATCTTAGACTCTGTGAAAACATCTGCTGACACTGATACAGCAAGAAATATCACACTTACAGATCAGAGTTACACTCCTTACAAAAATGTAAGCTGAATTTAATATTTAAAGACAAAGTTTACAGATGTACTGCTGTTTTCAGGGTGAGATTAAACTTTCATGCTCACTTACTGTAAGAAAACTAACTAACAAGGATCAAGAGAGAACTTGAGCCAAACTAAATTCAGTTCATCTATATAAAATTATTATGGTTCATTGATTTTTTTCTTTTTTTTTAGTACAAAACATATTCCTCACAGGTATTAATCGTAGTAAACTGACTATGTCATTTTGTGAGAATGATAGGGCAGCGATTCTAAAAAGCCTTGACTCATGGGTTTGATTCATGTAAAAGCAAAACCGCAGAGACAGAAATGAGATAATGCTTAAGGTTCGCGGGTGAGAGAGGAGAAATGTATCCGACAGCTCAGCTTGGTGGGTCCAAGCACGCAGCCAGGATGAGAGAACTTGGGTTATCATGGTCATGTGTTCATCTTATTAAAAGTTAAAGGTGAATTCAAGCGATGCATCCAGCACTTATCAGGTTATCCAAGTTTGTTCCTACGCATGCAGGTCAGGGCTCATATCACACGTGAACACGGCTGTGCATAGGTTTGTTTACCTTATCTGTGAAAACACAGATGACACGACTGTGCAGATATGCTGGACGAAAGGAATACATCTATCCTCTCATGCACACAGACATCCAAAGTTAACCCACATCACAACAACTCAGGTGCTCAGTTCCACACACGCATGCTTAAAGTAAGCACAGAGAGAGATCATTTAATTCTTAAATATTCTTAATAAACTAAAATTTTTGCATTCGTGTCTTGCTGGAAACACGAAAATGTGAAAAAACCTCCAGTTATTCTGACTCGGGAGCCCTTACTCATTATTTCAAGAGGGTAACCACCACTGTTGGCCTTAAAGTCACAACTTTTAATGGATACTAAAGCTCAATTAACTGTTTTATTGTGTAACATATTTGTCACAGTTCATTAAGTGAAACCATACAAACAAAAGCGCATGTCATCTTTTTAATTAGCTGAATTGATAGTGTTATTGTTGGATGTAGTAAAATGTAAATGCCAGCAATGGTGGCTTTGCAGCTCTTTGCCAGTGGTTTGCTGACATTTCTGCAGTTATCTTGACCAAATGGGAGATATCATAGCCGGCAGAAATTCATAACATCTGTGATATTTAATTTCCAAAAGACTGATGTGAGGGTTTTTCCCCAACGGGGTGACTTATACACTCTGTGTAATTACCAAGGAAAAAAAACTGCATTATTTAAAAGAGACAAGAAAACAAGACAGCTCATCTTTAGAAACGTGGAAATGTGGACATACAGCGGGGGGAATTCAAAGAGAGTAGAAAAGCTGTACCTGTACCTGACCAGAAAGGCGAGGAGGAGGGAGGAACAAAGCTGCAGCCGCCAGGAGAAACTACAGAGAAACGAAGCGAGTGATGGGAGGGGGTTCAGGCCGTAGTGGGAGCAAAGAGAGAACATAAGCAAAGTAAACACAAGTTTGACAGAAAGAGAGCGTGTTTGTGTGAGGGTAAAGGAGAGAGAAAGAGTAAAAGTTGTCAAAGTCAAAGTACAAGCAAAAAAGCAAATAAGGTTGGGGATACGCAGTGAGAGAGGAGGGCAAAACAGTGAAACCATCAGACAAATTGTTACTGCCCCGGGCACATGCACAAAATCTTACACAGCACAAACCGCAGTAAGGTGGGTTAAGTGAGTGAGCCTATAATGCGTTTTGATGCCTGAAAGTCAGTATAGGTATGACTTTTTTTTAACACTTATATGTTGCTTTTTATGCCTCAGTACCAATTCAGCAAAATGTCAGTGGTAGGCAATGGACCAATATTTAAGACAATTGTGTGCTTTTGACGTAGCAGAAACAAGTCTGAGAAAGTATCATTCCTAATTCAGGATAAAAATGTGGAGACAGGAGCACTACAGTGTGGCAGTCCTACGCAGAACTGCCAAAACTGCCACAGCCATATCAAGACATTACAAGATATTTCACAAAATGCTGTATAATGTCCTTTATTTGGTTACCACTTCTTCTCTAATTGTGGTCCAATCCTAAAAGAGAAAAACTTCAACAAAAATAATCAGAATATATAATTTAGTTTGCTTTGGCATACTAATATAGCAGGATAAAATGAATGATAATGTGTTTTTCACCAAAGGACCTAACCCAGTGAAAATGAAAAATTGATGGGAGACACTTAATTTGGAGATGGTATGAGCAGGACTGCTGGTCTGAATACTAAAGACTATTTGGGTATACAGATAGATCTACTTGTTGTAGGAATTTCTGTAAAGAATCCCTTTGCCTATTAACGTCCATCATTTTTGGTTTACTATGCTGAATAATAAGTCTCGGATGTAAACTTTTGGCTACATAATGTGGCTTTCTTCAACTTTGTGCTGGTTACACTGCATAAAAATCAGCAATAGCAAAATTTTCAGCTTCAGACTAAAAAAGCAGCGGCAGCTTGTGTGTAAGTATACGTCTGAGCAGAAGCACGGTGCTGTGACAAGGCAGCGTCTGGGATTCCACACTGCAAAGCTAAGAGCTCCTGCTCCCATATGCAATCTCACCTGAGCCAGCAGACCCTCATGCTCAGAAAACAACTCCCGTCAGCACAGCAGTATGGTTTCATGCCTTCTCTTTGTACCGTACAGGCAGAGACCAACATGCGTCAAGTGTCTGGCCAGAGTTCGCACAACTATTAACATACTAACATAGCATGAGTATTTATACTTTACATGAAAATATTTTTGATTCTTTTAGACAAGAACATATGTGCATGGACCGTGCACAGGGTGACATGAGTTTCTATTATTTAAAATATGCTATTTATATCAATGTGGGCCAGAGAAATGACCACAAAGCTACAACAACTGAATGCTAGAAACCTTATGAAAATGTATTGCAGGGCTGATGTATTCGATGTTTTCAGGTGAATGCACAAGTTGAGTATCTTAAAATTCTTTCAATAATTCTGTCATAAATATTTTTAGGACATTATACATCAAATTTAATGATATTGATATAAGATAACAGACTCTGGTGTCCCAGTAAAAGTTAGACAAAATGATTACCCTGACAGACAACACAAGATCATTGCATTGCTAATTAGTTCCCAACTCAAGCTTTCACACACACAGGGAAATGCACTCAGTCAGACTTAATTAAAAATTCTAGCTGGGGTTTTTCCAAGCAAATTACTCCAGAGTTTTGATGGCTTTACAGTAGTTCCGCATCTTGTGATTGTTTACTCAGCCTTGCATTCTATTTTCTTTGCTATGAGGTGTCTGTTTTGAGATTGTTGTTGTTTTGGCATGACATCTGTCTTTCCACAGAGGCTGTTTACCAGACAGAGAATACGGTGCCCACTCTAAGTCTGTCTATGGGGGTGGACGACTTAAGGCAATAATAATCTATCCCAGAATGCAATGAGGCAGCGGCAGGTCTGTCAAGAGTTTTTCAGAGACAGCGGCGCGGTGAATGGCAGCAATGCACAAACACGGTTCTTGCAGAGCTGCTTTGAAGCTTTATGCGCTAGGAGACCGATGCTGACAAAGGAGTGAGAGGGACAAGGATGTAGCAGAATTTTACATCCGAAAAGACACAAAGGGCTAACTTTGACTTTGTTCCTGTGTTCAGTTGCTTGCCTCTGCCACTCTTGCGGCAGCTATGGTTGTTTACACATACACCTTTCTTTAAGTTAAGACAGTTTACCTCCAGCTGCTTCCTGCTCTTTTACATCAGATCATATTTGCAAACTTTTCCCACTTTTGCGGAAACAGTCACGGTCTCTCGGTTGGACCAAGGGTATCCCCCAGGTGTGTGTCAGCAGGCGGCTGTCACAGGTTTTTTTTTCCACGGCAAGCCCAAGTAAAATGTCATGTCCTGTCAGGAAAATTGTGAAGCCATCTCAGAGCTGAGCAGAGTGCGGAGTGTGACGTTTGGAGTAGCAGGCTCCTGGTGCTTGCCTCGGGCACTGGGCTCTAACTGGGACCTCGCTTTCCCAAGCCTGGTGAGCTGCAGAGGCTCTTTTATATTTCTCTCACTCGCTGTCTCTGACTCTCTTTTGTGTTTTCCTCTCCTATCTCTCTGACTCCACATCCCTTTGTACTCTTTGCCTCTCTTTGCATCTATTAAGATGCAGTAAGATGTATAGGATGAAAACATACACTGATTAACTTGACGCACAAATGCACACAGAATAAATAACAATTAGAATAGAAGTAGATCACATATAGGTGGCCATGAATGTCACAAAATCAATGGATTTCAATGGGGTTTTTTTTCCAAATTAGTCATCTATAACTGTGAGTCATTTACAATGAGGGTAAAATCAACATAACAAGAACAGCTATTAATAGCCAGCGTAAATCATCATCATTATCCAGATTACGTATCCGGATGCATGTTAATACAACGTATCATCTTTTGCACTGCATTCTCTGTCTCGCCTGTTCTCGCCGTCTGCTGCTGTTATTCTCCGTCTCCGGGCTTCCTCCAAATGTCTATCCACATTTTCTACTTCTATTTTCTACTTTCTACTTCTAGTGTATGCTTCCTTCTTCACTGAAGACAAACTGAACAAATAATTAGCACAGAATCAATTAATGAAGTCATGTTTTTTATATTCTTCATTTAAAACCTAGATTATACACCACTGCTGATACAGACAAGGACAGCTGGAGAGCCAACTGCTGACTACTTCTTTGAAGTCTGCCACCTGGGGCACATGTGTAGTTGTTGTACTATAATGTAAATTCTCTACGGAGTAGTCTGTGCAGTCACAAAAAGCAGGCAGGCACACTGACGGTCACATGGACCCTCGTGCTCGCTGTCTGATGACGAAATTTACGTCAATGGGACCCAAGCGGACCCTAACAGGCTTACTGAACATACAATCGAAAAAGTTCATGCTGGTTTTTATAGAAAGGTGTCAGAATACAAAGTGCAATGCAGTTTGTTGTGTGCAATGCAGCTTCTTGGTGCTACATACAACAACACACCTTCAGGGGTCTAGTGAAGTCCATACGTCAATGGGTCAGGGCTGTTTTGGCAGTAAAAGGTGGACCAATACAATATTAGGCAGATGGTCATAATGGCATGCCTATTAAATATACCGATCAGGCAGTTAAATCTTAAATGACATGAGAAGACCAACCAAGCAAAAAAAAAAAAAGAGGTTCGAAGATAAATCTGCTGCTGTCTATGCTATGCTATTCCAAGGGGAATCATGTTAGCTCATTACGCTGAACTAAGTGTTTCTAACATGTCTCAAATGTTAGGAATATGACAGCCTTGGGTATCAAGACAGAGGTATTAGACACTTAAGTGTCTAATAATGAAACAACTGCTTTGTCAGCATGTTTATATATATATATAAAGCAAGAGTGTATAGTACACTGACTTGACTGTAATGTAAGAAACTGTGTAGTAGGTGAGAAACTGATTACAGCAAATGGTTTTGGGGTTTAGAGTGTTTTATGGTGTCTATGAGATGGCATGGGAAATATAGACCACTGACTATATCCATCATAAAGACAGGTCTAAACTTCCCAGGGAAAAAAAAAATACTACTCGCCTTGCTTTATCTGACCTGGTCTGTTGTAGCAAAAGTCTGACCCTCTGGTCCTCCAAACAGGTCAAAACAAACGCTCAGAATATCTTTCAGCTACAACTGGATAAAGCTCTGATCTGAACTTGGAGCTTTTCAGCCTGTCATACAGATACCATCAGGAAAGGAACCTGAATGTTTGCAAAGCAGACTTACCACTCCCGACCTTGGTAATGGCCGTGGGCACGTTTCCATTGGGCTGTTCCCTGTAGGGGTGCTGTAGAGTGGTGTCGAGACTGCTGAAACCCTCCTTTAGAGAGTGCTGTTGGTAGTATTCCACCAAGTCCTGTGTCAACCACACAAGAAAAAGAAATGTACCCAAAGCACCGCTAAGCCATAAAAATACAGACTGTATAGTGCACAAGTCTATAGAAGTGAATGCAAGGACAAGTTGAAAGGTTAGCTGCTCATTATTCTTGACAGTACAAGCAATGCAAATACAGAGAGTATTACAGAGAAAGTGTCCATGGGGCAGTGTACCACAATGTATTTATTTTTTACACCAATGTCAAGTGCAAGCACTGAATACATTTGAATATCAGCTGCTGCGATACAAAGCCACAGCTTTAAAGCATGTCCCTGTGGCTTTCTAAGTGGGTACAAACATGTCAAAATAAACCAGTGGTAGTTATATAATTTTAATTTTAAAAAGTACATTTTTACTTGTATGGAAATTGCATTTTTCTCAAGAGAGGTCTGCAAAAATAGTGGAAAGTAAAAATGATTATGCTTATTAATGCTATAGCAGATTGTAGGCTGCAAAAATCCATAGAAAGATAAAGCCATTACCAGCACAGTTTTGAAAACCCGACTCTCGGCAATGTAAAAGCCTCCATCCTTGGTCAGAATCTTAATGTGCTTGACTTTATCATTGAACCTGTGGAGGATGAATAAGACATGGGTTGTTAATCAAGTAGACATGCTTCTGCATCAGTCCAGTCTCTATGATGAACTGTCACTAAGGTCTGTCTGTGCTGAGAGTTGGTTACTATGCTGAGCCAATTTCTATCTCTTACCAAAGCACCGTATAGTCAAAATTATGCTAGAATTAGACTGATCCTTTTATTATAATTCACAAAAAATGTAGAAAAACTAAAAAATGAAGCCAGGGGCTTTGTTCGGTGCTGGCTTTGTTCAGTGCTGCCAAAAATATGTTGCCTACCCCAGCTTTAAATACATTAGCTGACACAACAGTGTCACAACTGTGCTCAGGGTTAGACAACAGTAATTATTTTACTCATAAATTATACTCCGTAACAGTTTCTAATCAGCCAGTCACAAATAGACAGAATAACAAGAGTGTCAGGCTTTTGACAGCCACCATAATACCAAAGTACAGCGTGCCCTCTTTTTACTAAGGAATGTGAATTCTGCAATAGAGTTGCCTAATTACTGCTGCTGATTGTATGGACTTGGTGTGTTTGCCACACTGAAAGTTAGTACAATTGCATCACAACCAAATGTAAAACATAACAGTTGCAATTGAGTGATATTGTGGATTAAACGACTAAATCATCACTCAGTGCTGTGCAAAAGTCTTGAGCCATCTCTCATTTCTTTATATTTTTCAACAGCTGTCCAAGGATCATTTATTCATTCATTTTCAGTGCAGTCTTTGAACCTGACCGCTTTCAGAGGAATGCTTTTTGTTTGTATATTTTTTACTACGTCATATAACATTGAATCTTAGTCAAAGAGCAGCTGTTAAGAAGCGTTTCCTAATTAAAGGAAACAGGCTGAAGTATGGCAAATTACACAGAACTGGACTGAAAAATCACTGGCCAGGTCTTATGGACTGATGAATCAAAACTTTACATTTTTGCTGCATAGTTATCATACAGTATGTACTGAAAAGAGTACGACAGAGGACAAATGCTACAGTCATGGCTTGGAGTTGCACTTAAGTCAAATTTTGATGATCTTGACAAAAGTGATGAAATTATAAATGTAGAAACTATTGTCAGATTTTGATTCGGTGTGTAATACCATCTGGAAAGTATCTGATTGATAAACTTCTAGCATGACAATAACCCAGAACAAACTGCCAATGCAGCAAAAGAAGACCTGGATAGAAAAAACAAACAATTGAATGTGATCTACCATGGATTGGGCTCCCCGGGGCTAGGACCTCAACATTAATGTGATGTAAAAAGAAGAAGAAGAGTTTTAAATGTCCTTCAAGAGGCATGGACAACTATTCCTGGAGACTACTTAAAGAATATACAAGAAAACCTGCGTATGATAGTTCAGGCTTTGTTGAAGAATAAGTGTGGTCTCTAGCTTGTTAAAATTGGACAAACCTTTTTTTTGCCTTGTAGACTGTATTCCCATGTATGTTTGCAAACATTTCAATAAAACACTGCATCTATTTGAGATTATAATACTATATATAGTTCTATGTTTTAATGTAGGAGTGTTTGAAGTGGTAGTGAAAGTAAGTTGGGAGTTTGAGCCATTTCCTGTAGTGTGCTGTATCTAACATGTCCTTAATATTAAACGAAGGCAGACTGAAAATCTCTCAGTGCAGTGTATAACCAATGAAAAGAATATTTTCAAGTTGCATGTACGACTGTATGGATGTACTGAATGTATGACTGTACTGTAAGTAACATGTTACTGATTTGCAGTCATAGGGTGCCTAACACACAGAGACAGATAACCCGTTTGGTGAAGGCAAGATGTTTCCTTCCCTCGTAAAGGCTCGCAAGGTGTTACACACATGCAAACAGCATTCAGCACACACAAACTGACCGCTTGTAGTGTTTGACACCAGACAGTTCCAGTTGATTAGTAGCAGCTCTCTGTGTAAAGCTCCATTATCTCAAATGGCCATCCTGATAATGATCTTAAGCATTGAGACAGGCAATTAGGATTGGAGTGTTCAGAAACCGGCCCTGTACATCAAAGCTTTGAATGAGGAACGGTATGAGTCCACCAAACCAAATGGGCTGGAATGGTGTGTCACAGTCTGAATAGTCTTAACATCCAAACACTATTTCAGAGTGCACCCTCACTTGTTATAATCTCTTGGAGCCATCATGGCAGGTCAGAGGGACTCGATAGTCCTTTCTTTTTTAACAGAGTGAACAAGCTTTGATGTGCCCTGAAACGTATTCACTAGTTAAATGGGCAGGGCTGTGTTTGAAAAGAGGAGTACGCAGGCACTCAGCTTGTAGATAAAGTAGTCATTTGTTGAGGCCTTAAGGGAAGTATGTTTTATCTACAACTCAAGTGTGTTTCTAGCCATCTTTTGAAATACACAGACTGATAACTGAAGAGCATCAAACAGTCTGATGCAACGCTATCAAGTTTTCGTTGAATATACGTCTGAGACAGATGGTGAAATAGACTATCCGATTCCCCCTCTTTCCCATGCTATATTCAGTTGAAAAACTGTCATACAATAACAAAAATGAACTTCTACAAACTTTAGGCATGATGTGCAAATGCCGGACAAGGTCTCCTTCACCAAAAAATGTTTTTAACTAAAACTAGAAAAGTTTTGAGAATTTTGTACTTTAGCAGTGACAATTGAAAAATGTGTCTTTCAAGAAACATTATTAATCTAACTCTATATTGTCACAATTACAGGCGTTTGAGAATCAGAGTACAAATACAAAATGCAGCTTTTCAATGATGATTTCATTCATTAAGGGGAAAAAGCCATACAAACCTACCTGGTTAAAAATGCAAAAAAGTAATTGCTCCCCTTGTTAAATAATGAAATAACTGTGATTAACTTGGTTTTTTGGAAATCTGAGTTCAATTTCATTAGCCACACCCAGGCCTGGTTAAACCCACACCTGCTGATTCACTTAAATAGAACAGCGTCTCAATAACTGCAAGCCTCACTTGGCTCAGTTAAAGTTTTTGTGATTCAACAATAAGGAAGACGCTGGGGAAAATGGCATTCATGGGAGAGATTCAAGGTAAAACCACTCCACCACGAACCAATATAAACACTAAGGTTCGACTCAAATTTGCTGAAAAACATCTTGATGAGCTACAAGACTTTTGGGAAAATATTCTATGGACTGATGAGACAAAAGTTTAACTGTGGAAAGTTTGGGTCCCATTACATCTGGTATAACACTAATACAGCATTTATTAAAAACAATGTTATACCCATAGTCTAACATGGTGGTTATGTGATGGTCTATGGCTGCTTTGCTGCTTTAGGACTGACACGACTTGCTTTAATTATTTAAACCATGAATTCCGCTCTCTAACACAAAATCCTGAATGACAATGTCCGGCCATCAGTTTGTGCCTTGAAGCTCTGGCGCACTTGGGTTATGCAGCAGGACAATGATTCAAAACACACCAGCAAGTTGACCTTTGAATGGCAAAAATAAAAGAATTGAGGTTTTGGAGTGGCCAGACTTAAATCAGATTGAAAGGCTTTGTTTTGATGTTAAACAGGCCATTCATGTTCAAAAACTCTGCAGTGTGACTGAATTAAAACGAATGTGCAGAGAAGAGTGGGCCAAAATTCCTCCACAGTGATGTGAAAGACTCATTGCCAGATATCGCAAACACTTGATTCCAGATTGTGCCACCCTCTGCAAATTTAGTGGATAATTACTTTTTCACATAGGGGCAGATCGATTTGGATGGCTTTATTCCGTTACAACATGAAATCATCATTTTGAAAGCTTTATTTTGTATTTACTCATTTATCTATCTCCAGTACTATATTTCTAAGTACTGCAAGTACTATATTTCTAATTAAGAGACCAGTAAGCTCTAACTTGACCTTATTTTATTATATAAATTTATAATTATATAACTAGAGAAGGGCCAAGTTTAATTAATTGTTGTCCTTATAGAAAAGTTGTAAAATAAAGCACAACAATGGCAAATGCAGTTTAGCGTAACCTTGAATAATAACTGTTGCATGAAATAAACTGATGAAATTTAACCCACAAACGCACTAAAGTGCAAAATTAAGTAACTGTGTAAAACCATAACAAGATGCATCCCTGGATCCATTTCAGCGAGAGACAGCGTTATAGAAAAATCCCCCAGGACGAAACTCCTCCGATTTTAACCAACAAAGCAACAACAGGATTTAATGAATTCAGTTTTATTTCTTCACGCCTGTAGAGCAAACGGCGGCACTTTTTGCTGGGTGAAGGATTTTTTTTCCCTGTGAAAATGAATTTTTAATTTGTTGGATGCTTGTGTCAAGAATAGTGAAATTTTTTCGTTGATAAGATGGTCTCTTAGGAAATTAGCTACCTCAACAGTCAGCACTGATGCATTTACATACTAGGAGGGCTGGGAACAGTATGTTTTCTCCCAACTATTTTGTCAACATTTAGAAGCTTGTTAGAAAATTAGGGTGAAAGCAGACACTTCAAAACTTGGACCAAATAAGTTTATATTGCTAGAACAAACCCTAAGAAATGTTTATTTTCTCATTTTAGACCTTTAGAAGCGACACTGCTTTTCCAAACATTTGCACTTCAGTATAAACTGTGACTCATTACACCAGACATGATTTTTTTTTGTCAATCTTCAGTTACTAGATGCTGCTGTCACTACAACTTATTTTGCAGTGACGACTGGAACACAGCATGATCTCCTTCTGCTGCAGCCCATCCACTTCAACATTTGATGAATTGTTTGTTTTCTGAGTTATTTGCATGTGGGCATTTTGTTTGCTTGAATTATTCCCACCATCCGTCTCTCGCAAGAAGGTGTTTTTGCCCACAAGACTGGTGCTGACTGCATGTGTTGTGTTTATTTCATTTTTATTTAATTTTTTTGGTAAAAGAGTGAAAAATGTCGGAGAAAATAAATAGAAAGCAAGATGTCACTTACTTTATGCTGATTGCATATTCAGTGCACTCTTTACTCCTGTGCCGAATCAGATACGTGCTGTTTTCCCGGTCCAAGAGGGCGACCTCAGCTTGGCATCTTTCCATAGGCCCTGCAAACCTCAACATCCATAAACAGCTACTGTAATTGCACTGATCCACTCACAATGCATTGTCATAGACAATGTATAGCCAACATTATCTATAATCTGGAGTAAGAATGAACAGTGGCCATCCTTAGACATTTATTTTTGCCACTTACCAGAGCTGGGCAGAATAATCGACAGGTTTTGGAACCTGGCATAGAAAAATAATTGTGGTTATTTTGAGTTTTGATTGAGTCAGATCAGAAGGTAGAGGTCATTTATGTGATATTCAAGGCATATCTAATAGCTAAAATCCATCTTCTACAGTGAGAAAACTGCAATATAAAAGCACTACATTCTTCTGCCAAAACATCAATACACTGAATGCATTGTAATGATACTAAATTTGTCTTATTGATCACAATAAACATGCACACTTACACACGGGCAAGGCCTCACAGCATCGCTTGGAAAGAAGCCAATCTTGCTTGTAGCCAGATTTTTGCCCTGCAAAGGCAACCGCTTGTTAATCGCATTATATTTGTCTGGGAGCAACTGCACCTCTCTCTCTCTCCTTCTCTTCCTTTTCTCTTCCCCTCCCACTCTTGCCTCAATAAATCCTCAGCAATTAGCACACAACAAGCACTGCATCTAATTTGTAGCCCGAGTTAATTATGGTTCAAACTCTGCCGGCAGTTAGATTTGTACTGCATCAAAACAAGAGCCTCGTTTAACACTAAATAATGGATCTTATTCTGGTCTTTGAATATCCAAACAGCGTGAGCTCTAGGGTTGGTGCTAAAGACTCACAATTGCATTTTAGCTAACCCGCCTGAAGCAACAGGCTTTATGTGAAATCATTAATTCCTCCAGCAAACATGGAGTAACAGACTTTTGTTCTCCAGTTAAATAAACCAATTTGGTCAAACAAATTACTTGTTGTTGTTGTTTTTTTTTTACATAGACTTGTCTCTACTTGGATTGTTTAGTTTATTGTATAACCTTGTTTCTCTATTATGTACATTGTCTGGCAGACAGTAATAAGAATATGCATCAGCATTAAGCTGAAGATAATCTGAGTTTCCAGTTCCAAGTTAGAGGTCAATTTGAAGTCCATTGAGCCAATCTGAGAAGACGTTGAGTGGTGAAGGCATGTGGAGCTCTTCATTCGCCTTCCTGCCCCATTTATGCTTTCCTACTCACTCCTCCTTATTAGAGTATAAAATGCTTTTTGGGACCGTGCAAGCCCCGAAAGTAACTAGATTGGAAAGCAAATCTTTACCCATCTCTATGATTCATTCTGTGTAATAACATTTCATCAAAGGTTTTTTGAGAGCCCTTCTCTATTTGTTATGCTTTCGATAAGCGTATGATAAAGATTAAACTTATTACTCTGTTGGCATAAACAGGCAGGAGCCAAGGGATCAAATGAAATTACAGTGATTGATTGTATTGTTCTGCCAGTGGGATGGGGGATAATTGCCTTCTGGGTAACAGGGGATATGAATTCTCAATGTTCTGTAATTCCATCCTCTGGCGCCACTGGGGACATTGGAGATTAAAGATACCCTGTGGAGTTTTCATTGTAAGCAAACATGACTTTGTTAGGATTCAGGGTTTCTTTCCAAAATGTAGTGTGTGACTGTAAGACCTCACAAACTTACTGAAAACAAAACCTTCTATTCCTTCTTTTATTATAGGTATCACAGACCTCTTCTTCAAATGTAAAAAGTAACAGAGGCAAAAATAAACATTTTGAGGCTATATAGTTAATAATAACAAGAAGAAGAAGAAGAAGAACAGAATAAAAGGCAATACTCTTTAAACTGATCGACATAGTGTTGAAATGAATGAGCGTGGTTAACTGATCCTTGCTGCATGCAGAATGCCAGATAACCAGAATGGCCCAGAGGTAAAAGTTCCAGAGGAATTTATCCCATGGAAAACTAGGCCCACATCATTATTCAAAACAACCACCTTTAGCTGCAGAAACTCAAAATAATCATTTCTGTGTGACTGATCAGTTTCTCACATTGTTGTGAAAGAATTTTGGTCCATTCTTCTTTACAGTGTTGATTTTGTTCAAGCATTCATTTCATCTGCTCTCCCTTATGTAGCAGGCTTGTCAGAGAAAAACTTTCTCCAAGTGTGACAATATGGTGCATTTTTATGACAGAGCAACAGCCTCAGACATAAACTGGTTTATCCCAAGGACAGAACACCCAAACACAGGGTAAAAAACAGTTTATGAGCTGAGTGCAGTGAGGAGTGTTTGGACGTCTACATAGCAGAAACCAAACAGGGACTGCACAAATGCATGGTACAACATAAGAAAGCCACCTTAACAGGACAAACTTCAGCTAGGGTGGCCGTAGTTCAGGTGGCAGAGAGGTGACCTCAGAGTAAAGATGGACAAAGATGGACAAAGATGGCAGATGGGTTGAAAGAACAGTAAAAAAGGCCATCTACATCCACTGTGAATGATCAGCATTGAACACAGGTGATGGCTTACGACACCAACTATCAGCCACCTGCAATCCAATTCTGAGATCCCTTCCCAAGTACGTCAACCCCTATTCACACTATGCCTAAGGTGACCTCAATAGCTCATGTGATGCTGGAGTGGGACAATGTCTTACAGTGGTTTCACCTGTCAGCCCCGGTGACAGGAATGGCTCATGCCTTTTTTCACACCTTGGCTCACAGAACACACCTCAGAACCTCCTCCAACTCCCACTAGGGGTTTTTAACCTGGGACTCTCCATCAGTTGTTTTGAGGAAACCTCTTGGATAAGAGGCAAAAAAAACCCTAAAGAAGTCCAGTTTCTTTCTTTTCGATTTCTGAAGGCTGCCAATACCAGGATGCCAATGAATCTACACAGTCCTGATAGATGATAAACTTCCGTAAAAGAATTTCTTGAAACATCCATTCACACCACTTGAAAACTTGTACAGTCATATTACAATAAGGTTGATTACAATAAGGCGGGTGTTGATAAACCTGGAAACTGCTTGTGTAGCCACTTCTCCCTGCTTTCATAGAGTGCTTTAAAAAATTCTGTGTCAGTGCACGTGTGGAAACCAGCTTCATATTTAAACCAATGGAAAAAAAATGATACAAACATAACAGGAATCCGCTTATCAAATACTGCTCTACTGCTCCACTGTTGGTTATAAAGTCAACAGGACAGCTTTTAGTTAAGCTATTTACATTATCATTATGCAGAGCTCAGGAATACACAAATGTGTTTTATCAGATAATTCCTGTGATTATCCCCTTCCAACATGCAGGGTTACCATGGTAGCAAACAATGCAGTGCCATCAGGTCTGTGGCATGACATTCTGGTCGCTGCTCTATCAGCTTACATGAAGTCTCATGGCATTCATGTCCTCACCCTCCACTATGTGCTCTGTCACAACAGAGAGAAACATGAAGCACAGGAAATCGGGCTAACTGCCTACTTCCAGCTGCGCTGTTGGCAAAGACTGCAGTACGATTGGACCTGTACCAGAGGAGAAGGATGAGGCTTTAGCACCAAAATAAAGTAGAGTGAGAAAAAGCTAAGGAGGCTGCCGGAAGACCCCAGATAAATCGCTATCCCTTCAAAAATAGAAAAGGTCAAATGCTCTCAACCGCTGGCTGACCTCGTGAGATGGTTGTTAATGTGCCGGTCCCCGAGGTTGCACACCACCATTAGAAAGTCCTCCAGAGCCTGAGCTGTATGCCGTTTTATTGTTTCGCCGTGGCAGTCAATTAATCAAGTGGAGCCACTAATTGGTTAGATCATCTGATGTAGCCTCTAATTCAATCTAAAGAGTGAAAGAACAGCCAAATACCCTGTTTGTAATGTAACAGGGGTCCAGTGAAGCTCATACAAATCTTCAGCTGATATTTTTAATTGGAGCTGACCTCATCATACTGTCACATTTGCGGCTCACCTGATAGGACACCCGATGTGATGAACAACAACAATGCAATTAGTGATTTATAGCAAACGGCGGCCAAAGGGAGATAAATTGTTGAAGTCACCACATTAATCTACATTTTTGAAAGCTTTTCTGTCACCTAACGGCGTCATCCAGCATTAAAGGAAGATGTAACATACAGCACAGATTCAAAGTCATGACAGTGCAAAGACATTGCGTGCACCACACCAAACCTAGTCAGCCATAACATGTTACTTTTTCATAGAGTCACAGATGTTGAGATAAAACAAGGTTGAGCTGAGTGACACGCACCTGCCACCAAGAGCTGTGCAAGTCGGCAAACATCAGTTCAATGATATCCCCCACGTGAATACTCAGTGGGGGCCCACACTGAGAAGAGGGGATGCCACTGTAGTCTCTGATCACAACCATCCTGGGCAAACCTAACAGACAGGGAGCGTAAAGACATTAACACTCAAAATTAGAAACATTTTGTGTGACTTTTTTGAGCAACATAGAGAACTATATAGGGATATAAATAGTGCAGCTACATGACCGAGAAATGTCATGAAAAAGGTGCTTTTGGTTGATTGCTCAACAAGCAGACCTGGGCTATGCAGTGAAAGATATGAGAAAATACACCTTTTTTTTTTGGGAAATTCAAGTGAACCACCCATTCCATCATTTTATCCACTTTCACCACTACATAAATGCCCAAAATAAATTTCCTGTATTCTTCTTACCCTGAAGGTTTAAGCACATTCTCTAACCTGATGTGTAACAGGTACATAACTACACAATTGATGACAGTGGATTCTGTCAATTTTGATAACAGCCTAAACTATCATACTGTCACTATTCTCAAAAGCAACAATTTGCCATTGCAGGAAATTCATCTCTTTGATTCCTGAATGGCTCAGTACCAATCTTTCCACTGCATGGCAGACAAATACAGCCATGAGCACGGGGCTAAGGCTAAGACTAAATACCCCTGCCAACTTAAAAGACACAGCCACTTACTCTCTCCTGACTCACACATCTAGACTTCTCAGTCGCATCTCCCTTCCAACCACAACTGCCTTGCAAACCAGCCTGGGGAAACTATTAGCTGGCTCTGACCTCAGATGAATGGAATATCTCACATTCATGTTTTTAATAAGAACAATAAGCACAGATGTCTTTCTCATAAAGGCCCTTATGGAAATTGATTTATCACAAAGGCACAGCTCAGCAGTTGAGGCTGAGGCATATAGACTGCTGGAAGTGTTTTTCTGCCGACATTTCTCCTGCCATGGTTCTCATAATGATTCCACCCACACCAATTCATCTCGGTGCTGTCTAGAGTTTAAGCATCACGGCATGAAGTGAGAAAGAGGTTTCTGTGGTCTGGTTAAGGATTTCTTCTGCATTCTATTATTCATTGGTTATTCTTGCTTAAGTATATTTGTCAAGAGGAAACTGTTGCTGTTCATTACCTCCCTTTAAACACTGCATGCATGTGAGCAAAAGAGATTTGAGTATTTGTGCAGAAGTGCATTTCTAAGGAAGAATCTTGAGGATTTTTTGTGGCCAAAAAAAGAAGCATTTCAGTTGAGTAATATGTGATCAAAAACGAATCACAGCATTGAAGGGTTAGCTTTAAACCACCCTCTATCTGTTACAAAACTCACTCTGGCCTGTGACTAACCATCTCCTTTTCATCCTGTCTGCGTTTCTGTTTTGCTACAGAAGTGAGATGAAAGAAGCTTAAGAGGTACCACGTAAAGCCCTTAGCAGGTTCACAAAAGTGGTCAAGCCATACTGACCTGGGTCCGCTGGTGTTGTGTTGTCCTGTGAATGGAAAGAGAAAGCAAGATGCAAGAGAGAGAAAAGAGCATGAAACCAAGAAAGGAAGAAAGAAATATGGAGGAAGGAAAAGATTGATAAATATAGAGGCAGAGGTTTCTTACTCCCCGTGTAGGATCAGCCTGACCTGCACAGTGAGTCACATTCTCAATACATCATTCTGTGAGTGTTCTATTTTTAAGGTGGTTAGTTAAACAATATGAAAAGTTAAAGATGGAAATCAAGAGTAAATTGTTAAGGTTTCATCTTTTTAGTATAATAACCAAATAAAAACTGTAAAACACATAAATACGGTATTGTATTATTTTATCCTTGTTATGACTACAATAGATTGTCTGCAAATTATGTGAACACTGTCTTTATTCTGCAATTGCAGTCAAAGAAGGAGAATGAAACTTGGCCATTTAAGGATATTTTTGAGGATTTTCTGCATAAACAGTTGGCTGTTACGTGCCACAGATTTAGCTATGGACTCCTATACTTCTTAATTGAGGCTCTGTTTCAAAGTTGACACAAAGACTGCCATCTAAATAGTCAATAAAGACTAAACTGGCGAGATACACCAGCTGCTGTGATTGGACAGCTGTTACATGCTAGTGCTCTGCCTTGTATTTCATTCAAATTGTAGGCGCTACACTCTGTACAAGTCTTTCAATTAAGGAGAGTCTTTAAATCAGTGTAATGCTTCTGCAAGACGAGGAACAATAAAATTACCACTTAATCAAAGTTTTCAAAAGGGAGTTGACATTTGTATACCAACATCTTTTATCAACTTAACAAGTGTAAACTGTTCACTAGTATGACCAACTCACTGGAATATCAGTTTACATGGGCACAAAATCATTCCTCACTTATATCTGTCCATAGATGAGAGTGCTTTTGTGCTCGGCGCTACAGTTCATCTGTCTCCATAATTATGTTAGCTTAAGTGTCTAAGTCACAGAAGAGAAACAGACCGGGTCTTACCTTGGGTCTCAACTTGACAGGCTCTGCAGTGAGGTGAAGAACAGCTACAGTGAGAGGAATACAATATGAGTGCATGGTGGCTTTCTGACATGCAACCTCAGCTGTCAACCTCTGCTAGCCCTCATCATGCCTCTGAATGCATAAAGACCACAGCACTTCTGTTAAGAAGGCTTGTCAAAGGCCTCAGCTAGCTTTAGCCAGCCTGTGCATTCAAGGAGAGTAAAGAACTCAAACTACAGCACCAGAATGGTGACACAGGCCCACAACTAGACATAGGAATAAGATTCAGCAAGTAATAAATGAAGCAAACAATTATATATGTAATATATATAATTATATGTAATATAAATATTTGTAATTTGCTACTTTGTTTGCTACTTTGCTACTAATACAGAATTTAGATTTTCCTTCAGGGAGAAATAATCCTATCTGTACCTTTTCAGAGGAGTAACAGTGTGTGAAAAACTAAGTACATCGAATTAATCGGTAGCCTTTAGAGCTACCTTTAGCAGCAACAACTTTAAATGACTGGTTTATCTCACATCATTGTGGAGGATTTTTGGCTCCCTGTTGTTCACAGCATTATTTCAGTTCACTGAGATTGTGCATTTCAGTCAGGTTGAGGTCTGCACTTTGACTGGGCCAACTTCATTTCTTATTCAGCCATTCTATTGGAAATCTGCTCATGTTCTGGGGATCATTGTCCTCTTAGATGACCCAGTTTTGGTCATTTCATCATTTTCATCAGCATTATGGCCAAACATCTCCATCTTGTCTGTCCAAAGGATACCGCTCCAGAAGTTACAAACCTAAGCCATGCTGCCATGTTCTTTTTAGAGAAAAGGTGCTTTTTCTTGTCAACTCTCCCAAAGGAGCCATACTCGTTTAGTCTTTTCCAATCGTAAAAAGGTGATGTGTCTCTGAGATGTGTCTCTTGGGGTTCTGTTTTGGGTTGGGTTTGTTTTTTCAAAATTTCTCTTGGGTATTAAACGGTCTGATCTTGACCTTGAATTTGCCACTCCTGAGAAGATTGTGGCATTGTGTTAAGACAAAGATGATGAGTTAATTAAGTTCCTTTGATTAGCAGCAACTGGCTTCTACTATCTCTCTTAATTCTTATAGCAGCAGTTTAGGTGTACTTAGATTTTTCACATGACTGTGAAAATCCACATGGCTGTAAATTTTCTATACAGTTGCAAATCTGGTACGAGTGTTTTATACCAGAAAAAAACTCAAAAGAGTGACCAAACTGTTAAAAGGACTTTCTCTAAGGAGCACAAATGTGCTCGGTCGACTTCATGGGGTTTTTTTTGCCTTTTAGATCTTTATATTTTGTGTGTTTTTAATCAAAACTGTGGCATGATGGTGATGACAAGGGTCACCCAAAATGTGGGATTGAGCAAAACAATTGGTTTGAGAGGTTTTTCTCTCACCTGTTCTCCCACAGACTCCCAGTCGACCCAGACACTCTTTATGAGCCCCCAAGCCACATTTTAGACAGAGATAACCCTGGTTAAAGATGCCCCTGGAGACAACACAGAATATATTTCATGTACAACAGCACCCTTATAAGAAACACACTGACATTTAGAATTTGCTCTGAACACCCTCAAGATAAGAGGAATGGTACAGCACGTACCATTCAGCTTTAAAACTGATGATTTCTGTCAAACACTGAGATTCAGTTCAGTATTGTGCTCTTGATAAAATAATACTACTAACAATTAAACTAAGCTCATTTTAAAATAACCTTCTTTTCCCCAGAAAAAGTGACTGAAAGCCAAAATATATAATGGGTCATTATGTTCCTTCATGCATTCAATGGAAAAAAGATTTGAAAGTTATCTTAAGAGAGCTATCAGTGAAATAACACATGATGGTTTGCTATCTTTGAGCTATTCATGTAGTTCAAGTTCATGGCAACCCTGTTTCAGGTACACGAGTGTTTGAACTTCATCGCAAAAACATAATCATCTTAAAAAAAAACAAAAAGAGCTCACTGACAATTAATCTTACCTAAGCAAAAGATGACAGAAGCTGCAGGAAGTGATCCTTTCAAACGTGTGCATCTTAAAATGGTGGGAGTTGTGGGTGGCCTTCTCCGGTCGGATATTTGATCTAAGACAAAGAAAAATGAGCAAAACGTTGCTTAAACACTAAAATGAACTAGCAGCTCTGCATGGTTGTGCTTAACCAGAGCGCGTTAATGCTAACAAGCATGCATGTGAATATGGTTACGATCACAATGCTACCATATGCTTTGCGGCTTTCATGTTTACCACAACCTCTATTGTAAGCTGTTTCACATATGAGTGTTCTGAAAATGCCGTAACAATCAGGTTAGAGCTTGTCCAAAGTTGTCCTTCCTCACATGTAGCACACAGTAGAAGCTAGCACATGTCAGCCACATTATTACTGAAATATTCTGTTTTTTTAGCCAAGTACTGGCCAGTACTTGAATGCTGTGACCACAACATTGCCTGCATTACTTTGAAATTGAACACCTGACATACTTTGTTTGAAGAAGTCGACAGGTTAAACCACCTAAAATGGTTCCCATGCACCTTTTTCAGGTAGGCTTAAAAAAAATCCAGAGCTGCATTGAATATGCACAAACAGCTTTAGTTTAACGTGTGAGGATGCTAATATTTGCTAATTGTCTCTAAACACAAACTACAGCCCCAGGATCATGCTGCTCATATGGCTAAAAACATGTAAGGACTACGTTTGTATGAGTGGGCGTCTCAGTAGTGGGAGCAATTTTCTTCCTGTTTACTCAAATACAATTCATTCTTAATAATTTCTTCATCAACTAAACAGAGCAACTTTGTTGGGGAAGAACAATCTTTAGTTTATTCCTTCAGCTGATTGAAATAAAAGCAGTTTTACCTACAGTGCACGCATCCGAATAAATGAAGAGGACTTGAATGAGCCCAGGCAAATCTAATTTTGATCTGCATGTGTGCATCTGCACCATGAGAGGTGGAAACGTGAATAGCAGGAATAGGCAGCCTTTCTGGAACGTGAATAAACACACAAAACATTTTTGTATTAAACACGCCATCCAGAAGCCACTTAGACTGAGTGCTCCCATAAGTGAGTCCTTCATCAAAAGCCCACATCCTCTTAGGTAGGTACAATTTTCACTTTTTGAATTGGCCCCTTCTGGTGTCATTACTCAATGCACAGAGGCACAAGTCGCTGTTTTCAGGTGCAAACCCTGCCCGTGCGGCAAAACAGTTTTAAACCTGGGGTGAAAATGGATACAGCCTTTTCTTTTAAATTTTGGAAATTACACATTCAGTTTTTAGTGCCAGGGGCTTAATGGTAATGGAAGTGTAGAAATTCATACGTCACTGCATAAAGTTTAAGTTCAAGGAAAGACAGAGAAGTACTAAAACTGCACATTGTGCACTGTACAATTTGCATTGCTGGTACAGTAAACATATCAAGAATACTTTCACCGAGAAGTGTATTTAGAAAGGCCACAGCATACAGTTGGGTTTCACATATATATACAACCCCAACAAAAAAACATTTGTTCAGTCAGAGTGTGATGTCAAAACAAGGCAGTATTCTTCCAAATCAACATAAAATAGGATGTGGATGGGATATCTGCCCGCAAAAGCTTCCTACTGTTACAAAATAATATGAAAGATATATCTCCATAAAGCACTGATTTGAAAAACCATCGAGGCAGAGTGACTTCTTTGTAGTTCTGCAGCTCTCTGGAACAGTTTATGTTAACGTGCAGCTGTATATGTGTGTGTGAGTGTGTTATCTTACTGTTGTCAGCAGTGTGTGCTTGGTAACAGCTAAGACCTGATCAAACAGTGCACATGAAAGAGTCAACACCTCTTTTGGCCTTGGAATAACACACATGCAAACAAAGACAAATAAACAGCGTACACACCCACGCATAAGACCAGTGTGATTACGTGTCTGCAGCACGGCTACCAAACTGTCACCGCTGTGGTGTTCATGTCTCTGTATACTTACATGGCCATTTCAAACTGATCCAGCCACTTCTTCTTCAGCTCTCTGGTCTTAAAAAATAGTTCAAAGCCCGTGTGCCCCTGCTGGTGTGTCACATAGAACCCGTAGCACCACTGTGGGGTTCAAGAAGAAGGAAATAATCAAATTCACTAGTGTGTTTTGTTTTCTTTTTCTTTCTGATGCATTTTGGGTGCAGAAGCATTTATGTGTGGGGCTAAACTGGCTAAATGTATACAGGAATAATTACCTCACAGAATCAACACTTTCGTGGCGGGGGACACAGTAGTTTGGTTGGTGAAAATCTTTCTTCACAGCAAGAACAAACTTTTCATCTATGTCATAAATCCCCAATACCATGACAGGTTGTTGCAATGTAGTTATCCGTTTAACTGTAAATAGTGCAACGTGCTCTGTAATTGGGATGGATGCATTGTCTGAAATACCAGAGAATGACTACTGAGCTACTGGCTGTTAAAACAGCTGAATAAAAACATTTAGGGAAAATAAAATACACCCAAGTAAACTCTGAGTGACTCCATCCGATGCTGTTGTTTTACTGGTTATCATATATTCCAGTTTGTGAGTTTGTATTTAAGTTAGGAATGCAGACGCCCACACGGTCTTTTGTCAAGCTGAAAATATTGTTACACATACGATAATAATAAAATAGCGCTGCATTTTGGGAAAACATGTTTATAGGCCTTTTTTTCTTTTTTATGAAAAAACAGGACAATTTTTACATTATTAAATATGAAACTCAAGTCGAGAGACAGTGACCTTAGCTTCAGTTAGTCTACACTCATTTTTTAATTTAGACTATAATTCAATTCAATTTACTTACAGGGAGTGCAGAATTATTAGGCAAGTTGTATTTTTGAGGAATAATGTTATTATTGAACAACAACCATGTTCTCAATGAACCCAAAAAACTCATTAATATCAAAGCTGGATGTTTTTGGAAGTAGTTTTTAGTTTGTTTTTAGTTTTAGCTATTTTAGGGGGATATCTGTGTGTGCAGGTGACTATTACTGTGCATAATTATTAGGCAACTTAACAAAAAACAAATATATACCCATTTCAATTATTTATTTTTACCAGTGAAACCAATATAACATCTCCACATTCACAAATATACATTTCTGACATTCAAAAACAAAACAAAAACAAATCAGCGACCAATATAGCCACCTTTCTTTGCAAGGACACTCAAAAGCCTGCCATCCATGGATTCTGTCAGTGTTTTGATCTGTTCACCATCAACATTGCGTGCAGCAGCAACCACAGCCTCCCAGACACTGTTCAGAGAGGTGTACTGTTTTCCCTCCTTGTAAATCTCACATTTGATGATGGACCACAGGTTCTCAATGGGGTTCAGATCAGGTGAACAAGGTGGCCATGTCATTAGTTTTTCTTCTTTTATACCCTTTCTTGCCAGCCACGCTGTGGAGTACTTGGACGCGTGTGATGGAGCATTGTCCTGCATGAAAATCATGTTTTTCTTGAAGGATGCAGACTTCTTCCTGTACCACTGCTTGAAGAAGGTGTCTTCCAGAAACTGGCAGTAGGACTGGGAGTTGAGCTTGACTCCATCCTCAACCCGAAAAGGCCCCACAAGCTCATCTTTGATGATACCAGCCCAAACCAGTACTCCACCTCCACCTTGCTGGCGTCTGAGTCGGACTGGAGCTCTCTGCCCTTTACCAATCCAGCCACGGGCCCATCCATCTGGCCCATCAAGACTCACTCTCATTTCATCAGTCCATAAAACCTTAGAAAAACCAGTCTTGAGATATTTCTTGGCCCAGTCTTGACGTTTCAGCTTGTGTGTCTTGTTCAGTGGTGGTCGTCTTTCAGCCTTTCTTACCTTGGCCATGTCTCTGAGTATTGCACACCTTGTGCTTTTGGGCACTCCAGTGATGTTGCAGCTCTGAAATATGGCCAAACTGGTGGCAAGTGGCATCTTGGCAGCTGCACGCTTGACTTTTCTCAGTTCATGGGCAGTTATTTTGCGCCTTGGTTTTTCCACACGCTTCTTGCGACCCTGTTGACTATTTTGAATGAAACGCTTGATTGTTCGATGATCACGCTTCAGAAGCTTTGCAATTTTGAGACTGCTGCATCCCTCTGCAAGATATCTCACTACTTTTGACTTTTCTGAGCCTGTCAAGTCCTTCTTTTGACCCATTTTGCCAAAGGAAAGGACGTTGCCTAATAATTATGCACACCTGATATAGGGTGTTGATGTCATTAGACCACACCCCTTCTCATTACAGAGATGCACATCACCTAATATGCTTAATTGGTAGTAGGCTTTCGAGCCTATACAGCTTGGAGTAAGACAACATGCATGAAGAGGATGATGTGGACAAAATACTCATTTGCCTAATAATTCTGCACTCCCTGTATATGCCATCTGCTGCAAGTATAGTTCTGACTATACATTCATACAGTACGTTAGAAACCAATGCAGGCACAGTGACACCGTCTGCACATTGACAGACCTCGGGGGTCCAAACCTGCCCAATAAAGTCCTTGGGGCCCCTCTAGTGAGACCAGTGACACTTGAGTTGTAAGTTACACAAACCCATACAAAGTGGCAATGAAAAACTAAAGACTCATATTGCTGATAAGCTGCAGTGTGAGCTCAATCGATTCAGCTCCCAGTAGTTGCTTCTAAGTGAGGACGATGGGCAGGTCAGACTTTGAGAACTACCCCTTATCTCGCTTTAAAACTAGCTTGTGAAGCTGTTTCACTCAAAAACTACAAATACGTTGGAAATGTGTTGAGGACACTGTGTGCTCACAGTCGTTGGTGATTTCCCTGATCCATTTCTGCACCTACAGAAAATGTCTCTCTTTTCTTTTTTCTATTTTGCCTCTGCAATCAAAGACAACCATGTTTGCACTGTTATAACTATAGCTACATTTATCTATGATTGTACTGCATGTATGTGCCAGTGCAAGTACAAGTGCAATTTTTTTGTTTTCATGAAAAAGCAAAGTCACTTGAGCCATTTTGAACCACCTTGTAATTTGTAATCTTGCCAATCACACATTTCTTTTAGTTCAAACAATGACATGACAAGATAGACAAAAAGAGGAAGACCACAGAAAAAGGTTTAGAGAAGCAGTGACAAGAGGACAAGCAGATTGTTGGTGTGACAGAAGAGAAGAAGATGATGAAGGTGGAGAAGAAAAAGACAAAGAATGGCAAGGCAAAAAGAAATGCAGACACCACCCTTCTAACATAAAGCCATAACGCTTTTATCAGTCTCCACTGACGTCTTTGTGCCAAGATGGCTGCCACCAGCCTCACAGATCAGTGCATCAAGAGAGCAGCAACAATAAGATTTTAACACGTGCTCTGCACAGAGAGTACTGAATGACTTAAGCTGTGTTAACATTGAGACAGAGCGTTCTTAGAGAAACTAGAAAGCTTCGGAAAGTCCTAAATTTCAGAACATAACTTCTAGGCCAGAAACCAGCCAGCTATACCAGATCTTGACCACGTCTTCTGAATTTTAAACTGACAACTGTTTGCTTGTTGTCTTCAGAAGCATATTCAATTAACCAGCTATCCTCAAATGCATTTTTTTCAACCACTAGCTACTAAATAGCTCCACAGCAGCACTTTCAGTTTAAGTGCCTTGCCCATGGGTCCATTAAGGGACTTTTTAAATCATTTCCCAAACCTCTTGGCTTTTTCAAGTCTAATCTGCTTCAGCTGATTGTATCATATTTAATAACAGGAAAAGTGGTTGGGCTTTACCTGTCTGTGACTGGCTCTGAAAAGTCCTGAGAGTTTCTGAGTGTTAAATCATTGATAACCGTGAGGGTGCTCGGTGGTCACAGCGCTCAATGAAATCTACCAAAAAATGGGCTGTAGCTTTAAATGGCCTCGGAGGATTGCGCACATCCTTCACCTGATATTAATATCGCTGTCTTGTGTGTTCATGGGGGTAGGTACAGAGTATCTCTTTCTCTGACTATTAGCTTTTGGGTGCAAGTCTTGCGACAAAGAAATTCTTACACATGTGTCTGTGTCATTTTGTGCAGCATTAAATAAAGGTCGTATGTGATTGATGGAGCTTTAGGTTGAAAGCGGGATAAAAATGACGGGTAGAAATGTATCCGACCGTGTTAAGAATCATTAAGGGGTTTATGTCACTGCATGTTTCAGACGAGATTTTTAATTCAGAAATATTGAATAATCCTATCTAAAATATACCAATCACTGTCAAACGGAAAATAGACAATAGAGTAAATGAGGATGATAATAGAGTCTCTTTGAGAAAAACCACAGAGCCATTTCATTCTGGCAAGCTGTCACTTTCACATTAGCAATCAGCAGCAGAGTGAGAAGACACCATCTGTGGGCATACATCAACAAGACATCAACAAGTCCACTCCACTACAATACGGCCTGCAAATGTTCCCACAAGCCGAAAGATAGCATCGTGTGTAAACTGTATGCACCTTACATTCTTCTACATCCGTGTTTGCCAAAAAACAAATAAACGCTACAGCCAAACTGAATGACAACATTCCTTAGTGTATTCATTAGCGTAATTTACAGACAGATAAAGATCCATTTCACAATAAAAGATGACACAATAAAAATACTAATATAGTACACCGTGTCTGACCTTTTTACCCTCTCTGTCAGGCGTGGGGTTGTTTGTGATCTTGAAGTAGTTGAGGTCGAGTATGTCTTTCATCTCATAGTTGTCTCCTCTTCGCTTGCAAACAATGACGGCCACATCAAATAAAAAGATGTGCCTATGAAATAAGAAGACAGAGTGTTACATTGCTTCATTATTAACATGAGTATATATGTCACGTACAGTTGTTGCAAAGTAGGTTTATTTTTATTGTTGTTACTTTCTTGCCTTAGAGGTTAAGAAAGCTGACACCAGTATTTGGCTTAACTCTGAAGGTAAATATATCAGATACCACAGTTTTAGTCTGACGTTTTCTTGGATGCCTGAAAGTGTTTGTATCCCACAACTTTTGTTGTAGGGTAGGGTTCTTTTTTGTTGCCAACAAAACAAGAACCCTATGACCCCAAGTCAGTAAACTCAATATTGCTGATTCTTTGTTTCTTTTTTTTATTTACAAAAATGAAACCAACTTATTTTCACTCCAAATTCCACATTTTTCTGAAAATTTGAAAACCATTTCATTAAAATTAATTTAACATGCATGTGTTTCCTGTCTGCAATCCTAATTTTCCTTCCCAAACAATGAACTTGGAGGTACAACAACCTGTCCTGTTTCTTCTTGTCAACACTGGAGACTATGCGCACCTCTCCATCTCCCTTTGGCCGGCCGTAGGTGACTAGCGGCGTGTTCTGCAAACAAAACACGAAGGAGGTAAAAACGCTAGACTATACACTTTGGAGATCAAGCAACTCTTAAAATGTCACGGTTCATCTTTCTCAAGGCTTGAAAAACATACAAGGATCATATCTGATTAAGTCAACATTTTGATGCAGAACTGGGACCTACCAACTGGAATCCAAGCGAAAGTTGAATTTAAAGAGTTAAAAAGAAGAGAAAAATAAATGAAGATAGTTTGAGAAAGCAAAAGGTTTTAATCACACCTAACAGCTACTTCAGGAATGCAATATATATTCATAAAAGTACCTAAAAGTATACTAATATGAATCAAATCCCCATAAAATATTAACTTCTGCAAATAAATTTTCACATAATATTCACAATAAGACATCAGGTAGGTTTTTGGACATTCAATTGATTAGATCAGTTGATTCCTGCCACCTGATTCACTGATTAAAGTTGATTCATATGCAATCAGGTCAAGACAAGGATGAGGGTCTTTGTAATCTGACAAGCTCTCTTGTCTCTGCTGCTGGGTTTCATGACTCTCTGTAACCTCCCTGTTTTTTCTTTGACCAGCTTCTCTCAACTACTGAAACCTTCAGAAATGTAAAAACATAATTTACATTTTAATGTCAGCGGTAATGCTGAACAATAATATAAATATATTTCAGTGGATGCAGCTAAATTGCATTAATTATCCATAATTATGCAGATTACTTTTAAATCATTCTTATCTAAAATGTTTTATTATCCCATCAGACATTTATTATGATTCTGTTTTTAATCACAGTTGAAAAATCTACAAAAAAAAAGAAAAGTTCTTCACATCTCGCACCTAAGAAGAATGACTGAAATATTTAGTAAGCTATTACCCAATACATTTTCTGTGGATAGTCATCACTGCAGCTCTAAATGGTATTAGCTTTCTCTAAATCTCTGATATGGTTTAAGGCGGGATTTTTAAGACCTCAAAGATACATAAAATACACTTTTTACCTCTATTATTAGCCTTATATAGTGGCATCTTTTATCATTGTGCATGTTTGAGCTGAACTCTGTTTCGTGGTGGATTCCCTTAGACTACATTAAATTTAGACAAAGACTGGACTTTTTAAGCACTTGCGAAAACTGAATGTCTTCTAAAAGAAAAAACATGTTGCAGTGATATTTTACACTCTTATGTGGTCAATCCTAACAGCTGCTGCTAATTGTTGAAAAAATCTTTATTTTACCAGGTTTTCAATAGACCTCTGGTACTGGTCGATCTCCCTTAGAGTCTCATTATCTCTCTTCACCTCGTTGACGTACTGAGCCAGGTCCTGACAATACAGACCCACACAGACACAAAAACACACATATTATGCTTTGTAAGTTCAGTCTGAAGGAATTTAAACATGTAAAACAAATCGTGTTGTAAAGATAGTATCATGTCTTTTGTGCTACATTTTGGGGAAATCGCCCATTTAAAATATGTGCATGTTTCAGTGCTGAGAATTAGATGGGGAGACAAAGTGAATGACAATATTCTCCACACCTTTATTTTAAATGGATAAATGCGTGTTTGTATTGTAGTTTCTTTTTCTTGTTTGTTTCTTCAGTCAGAAAAGCCATCATGTCATGTTGTGTGTGTGTGTGTGTGTGTGTGTGTGTTTGAGTTTGCTTCCTATTTTTATTTAATATGTATTGATAGCTGAATAGCACAGACCGTTTGGAATAATCTGCTGAATCAGCCTGCTTTTGCTAACAGTCTAAAATCACTATGATTACGTACCATTTACCATAAGCACTGCACTTACTTTCATGGCATCAAGAGCGATCTTCAGGTTGCTCTTGTCAGCAGCATCCTGAGTGTGTTTGACTAGCTCCTGTTAGAGAGGAAAAGAAAATAAGTGGCAGACTACATCCACTAACAGAACTACAATTGCATAGGCAAGCACATTTAGCATCACCACATGGATTGATTTTATATTAAGGATCACTTTTAAATTGTATGAAAGACAAGATTCATCCTATACCAAATGGGTCCCTTCATATTCAGAGGACAGCTGTTAAAACATCAGGATAGCATCAGGTAATTAGATAATTATACTCTGAAATCAAAATTAAATGAATGAAGAAAGAAAGGGAGGGTTTCTTTCTTCTGCTTTGTTTAATTTTCAAAGTATATGAAAAAAAAAGCTTCTCGGCAAAGACTGGTGATGGGATTTATCAAAGTATAAATATCATTTGAAGCAAATGAAGTAAGTTTAATTCTCGTCCATGATCTTTCAGAATGAACAATTAGAAATACAATACTGTGCAAATGTCTTGAGTCGTTCCTCATTACTTTATATTTTACATGGAAAGTGGGATAGTGCAGTGATTCGCTGAAATGTGCAAATATTCATGGAAAGTATACAAAGCAAAACAGTTCTAATGAACATGAAATTTTATATTTGGTAAGATCAACTTTATTTTTCAACACAGCCTAAAATCTTGTGGGCAAGCTTCGGCTGCTGCTGCCTTTTGTTACATTGTATATGAAGTTGAGTCCACACTGCTTCACTAATGTTGAGGTTTGGGCTCTGAGGAAGCCTATAACTGACAATGTTTGTATGTTTTCGAATCCAGGTATGCTTTTACTGCATTGGTAGTGTGTTTGGGATCATTTTTATGCTGTTGCAGTTGGCAATCAGATGCTTTTCAAATGGTATTGCGTAGGAGAGCAAATTCTGATGGTACTTTTCTCTGTTTATACTTTCATCAGTTTGACAAGACCCCAACACCATCCATCGCATTTGCCTCCACCAAGTTTTAAAGATGGCTGTAAACACTCACTGTTGCTGTCCCAGCATCCTCCTTAGTGGAGATTAGAACCAAAATTTTCAATTTTGGATTCGTGACTCAATAAGACCTGCTGCCACTTACTGTCAGTCCAGTTTCAGTATGGCGCATAATTGATCTCAGTTTTTTTGTGCGGTTTCACATCCTCAAAAATCCTTCCGTGACAGCCACTCTTCCACCGAGACCATTTTTGATGAGGCTTCAGTGAGCAGTAGATGGATGAACTGAAGAGTCAGCGGCATCTCTCAGGTGTCGTGTCAGGTCTTTGTTGACTGTCAGATACTTTTCAACGACTGAAAATACTTTTTATGCCTAAACCTTGGCATTTTGGGGAAATTCGGGAAGAAATTATGTGGTCTAAGGCGTTTGGAAAGAAAAGCGTCTAGACTTCCAAGAAGCTTCTTCAGTTCTAAGGTCAAATTTTGGAGAGTCCCAGACTTAAGCCCTGTGGGAATGTTCCCCCAAGAGGGACAATGGACCCCTAGTAATCCTCTAACCTAATCACACGAACCAAGGTGTGAAAACAGGTGTAGGTCACAATCAGCCAAGGTTTCGGGTGAACTCATTGTGAAACCTAGCCCCATGCTATCATGTGATTTCCTGAGGTCAGAAGGCCCAGGATGTGAGTGGGTGTTAAGGTGTCTGGGATCCTACACAGACAAGAAATCGCGTGCTTCTGCAACAAGCTGCAAGTAACAAAGTGCCTAAATACACTGTTTAAAATAGGTTCTTTGCTAAGTTGCCTGTTATGTGTAGACACAACATTGACTCATCTGATGAGTTGGCCAAGAAAAATAAATAAATACATTTTTAAAATGGTCAGGTACAAGGACTGGATGCAAAATGAGTGAAAAAGCAGCCAATGTCCAAAGATAAATGAGGAAGGAAAATATAAAGACTTGAGGAGTGGCTCAAGACTTTTGCACACTATATAAATATCAGTAATGTAAAGATAAAGATAATTAATTCCATAATATATTCATAAAATCCATTATATAGGTAAATTTGAAAGTGTACATCCATCCATCCATTCATTCGCTTCCACTTGTCCTCTTTCAGTGTCGCGGGGGAGGGGGAGCCTATCCCAGCTGTCTTAGGGCGAGAGGCAGGGTACACCCTGGACAGGTCACAAGTCTGTCACAGGTCGCAAGTCTAGCACATAGACACAGACAACTCTTCGCACTCACTCATAAAACAGTTTTAAATTTTAAAGTTCTTCTGTTCTTCAAGCTTGAAGTATAAAGATGAATACACGCATGGTTTTTCTCTTCCTAGATGCAATAAACAAAACTCATATGAATACACAGCACTGCTGACATTCAAATACTATTGAATGTCAGCAGTTAAAGTGCAGGAAGAAAAAGGGATGTCACACACACACACACACACACACACACACACACACACAGAAGAAAAAGGACACACACACACACACACACACACACACACACACACAGAAACATCTATTTCTTTAATCACATGGAAGTTACTGTTGTGAGCGCAACCTGCACAGGGGAATCAATCTGTTGATGAAACCTGTCCACAATCTCCCATGGAAGACGTTGGGTTCATTACCATCAAAACAACTGTTAAGCAATAAAGAAAACATGCAACAATTCTAGACCACAGTGAATTGTTTCCACAGCAAATAAGACTACGTACTTGAACAGAAAACGTGTTTGCTAGCATTGTGCTTCATTTTCTGCTGACATTTTATTTTTAATTCTAGACAGATGCTGCTAGTTAAAAATACATGCCGCCGATACTCTGTTTGCTGTGTGTGTTTGATGTTCGTGGCAGAAAAACTGCGTTAGCAAGATTTAATCATTATTACAGCATTATGTATATTATATGTGCTTAATATTAAAAGTGGTAGAATGACTTTCGATGTGACTAGCTCTGTGGTAACGTTACACAATAAGAGATTAACTATTGTTCAAACTGGTGTGTCTGCGCCGTGTATGGCACAATGCTCTTTCCTAACTGTGCTGTAACCTCTTTCACTTAATTTCCACCTCATCACTTCTTTTCCCCTTTCATTCTTTTTTGTCCCTCCATCACACAGTTTCTCCTCAGGGGTGTCTGAGAACTCCCAGGATCAACACCATTCACCATGGAGGGCTTTACCTTCCACAACAATTTTTTTTTAAAAGCTCTCTAGGCAAAGCCCTCATCTATCCTGCCAGCTGTAGTCTGACCTCTGATTCATACTGAGCTGGGGAGATGGTGTCATACAGTAAATCAGTATGCAGTGAAATCTGTGGGAATCTAACAAGCTTGAAGTCTGGAATCCAGTATGTGAATGAATACTTTATGTACAACCGTCCTGCAAAATGTGTAACAAATCTACATAAATTCTGAGAATGATTTAAAACAATCTTGGTTCAGTTAATTTTGGAGGAAAAAGGAGAATATATCAAAATGCACTAACATAATGAACTAAATAATAACCTAGACTTTTTTTGAGTGTGGATCTTCTGGGATATCAAAGGGAGAGAACAATGAATCAAATTTGTGGAGGATGTCGCCCTCAAGTGGTCACTGACATGCTACAAGGTAGTTGGAGCAACTAAAATAAAGTTGACAAAAGCCCTTTTCACTCTGAAGTGATTAAAACTTGCACCAAATGTAAAAAATATTTTTAGTATTAAATAAACATCAAACTTTTTATGGATTTTTCTAGGGCACACATAGGAAAAACCAAACAACATCTGGAAATTCTGGATGTTCGTTCCTCCCATAGCAACAAGTAACCGTGCAAGCACCCCAGCAAGAAGCTGGGTTGCAACTGACAACTGTTTTTATGACCAGTTGATGAATGCTTTAGTATTTAAAATATTTGCAAATGATGATAAAATTGGAACAACCCTATTTTTTTCAATTTGACATTTTTGCTTTCTTTTCTGGGATCAATCAACTAATCTTTCGCTACACATAAACATAAATTATTCCACTGAAATTGCTCAGTATAAATGTAGATGTATATAAAGTGATAAGTGAGTCATAGATATTAAAATAATACCAAATACTTGTTAGCCCAAAGAAAAAGTAACAAAGCCACAAAGACTTTTCTGTCACATGTTATTTTTATGCTACTGCGTGAGTCAAACATCTCTACCTGCAAAAGGAGATGATACTTTAGGACTCTCTGCATTGGGACAACCAGCAGGTCCCTCAGTGTAAACTTCCCATTGTTGGCCCTTTTGGAGCACTCCTGGAACAAAAATGTAGTAACTGAACAGTACGACCTAGAATGCATCAAATACATTCACTTTAAGTGTCCTGTTGATGTAACTCTGACTGGCAGTAAGAATGACAACATATATATTTTAAATTCTAGTATCATTGTTGTTAAAGCGGAAGCAAAGGAAGCGCATAATGCATTATCTAAAGACCTGTAAGTGTAGTGAAAACAGTATACACTAGAGGTCACTGAAAGCTTGATCTGTATATCGGTGGTCATTGCATGTTATAGACAGGCCCGCTTCTTCTAATGTCTCACCTCCAGCTTCAGACGAACATCCTCCTTCTCTTTGCAAATGAGGTCTAAAACGGCGATGGCAATTTCCACTCGACTGCAGTATATTCCATAAATGAGCAATCTATAAAAATTCAATGGAAATGAGGTCATGATGAGTGTTGACTAGCAGGAAGGGACATTGGGTGTGCACGGAGGGCCACACATGTTGTTAAGGATCATTTCTCAAACAGCTGTATATACATATATATATTTAGTTCTAATCTGAACCTTTCTGAAACACACCTGTACAAAGTTTAAGGACTTAAAATGTGTGGGCTTAAAGAATGATTTTTTTACACAAAACTGACAGCTTTAATATAAATTTTGCAGATAGCAATCAATGAAAATTAAATTACTACAAAAATCAGCACTTCTGTAGTTGCATATTTCCACAAGCGAAAGTTCAACTCAAATAACTGAGACTTTTCTTTTTTGTTACATGCAACATGTTCATAATTCCTCACATACCTCTCTTTGTAGCTGATAAAAATCTGGTAGAGATTTAAGGCATTTTTGTTTAAGATGGAATCCTGCACTTCAGCCATCAGGCTCTTGTGAAGTCTAACCAAGTCCTGCATCAGAGAAAGAAGCCGTCAGTATCTGAACAGAAAAGTGTATCTTTCAATTGTGTGTGGCAAGAGTGAGAACTAGCGTGACTTACTGGAATGTTTACAAAAACTTTGTCTATTTCAGAAGTAGAGAAGAATTTCTTCAGTGGGTTCAGGAAATACTGGAGACAGAAGCATTGAAAACCTAAATGAAACTGAATTCAGCTCCTCTTCTTAGGCCATTTTACTTATTTACTGTACAGCTGGAAACTACAAACAGCGTGAAAGTGAATTTGTAAATAATTTATAACTCATACTGAAACCATTTACACAAGTCACATAGGATGTTTGACAGCAAACAAATTAGGGAATTGGCAACTGGGGATTTCCCCAAAATTCCCCATAAAAACCCCAATATTGTGCTCCGTGTGTTGTATAAAATTATAACAATTACAGCATTTACTGTCACTGAGATTAGATTTAGCATTATGATGCAGTAAATCCATCATTTGTTAGTTCAAAAGTTCAAAAGAGGAAAAACAAGAGCTCAGTACCTTCTCAATTGACTCGAGGGTTTCCGTGTATTTCTCCTCTGTCTGTTTAATCTCTGTAAGGCAGCAGCTTCGGATATCAACCTCTGCTTGCTTCTAGAAAGACAGATATCTTAGAAACTGTTGCTTGAATGTTTAAAAGAAAAGAAAATCTTTTTGTTATTTCTATCTGCAGACAGGAAAGCAATGTTTTAACAGCCACCAAACAGAGAGTAAGGTGCAGCAGGTGGCAAGTGAATAGATGAAGAGAACAGAATTAGGCCCCTTCAAACCAAAATTTACTAAAATACTTTTAAAACTATCAAGAAATCGGAAGAATCTGCCTTTGATATGCTTTAAATTTTAGGATTAGTTAGGAGGATTTTTCAATTTGCAAGTATAACCAATATAAAATGTTTCAATAGTTAGATTTATTCTATTCTTTATTCTAAGTAGTAGGACTAGTGAGGTATCTCACCTTATTTTATAATGTAATTTAGTCATTCATGTGTGTGTACATGTTTAGACATCTTTGTGAGGACAGAAAATTGTCATGCTTCTTTACTTGTGGGGCCCCACAGTCACTTATGGGGACAAAATGCCCGTCCTCACAAGTTCGAAGGCATTTTTGAGGCTCAAAATGTGGTTTCAGTGTCAGGGTTACAATTAGGTTGTGGCTAGTACTTATGGTTAGCAGGTTAGTACTTTTTTTCACAAGACTTACAATCCCATGAAATTTTTCTACGTGACTCTATAGAGATTAGGGGCTGCAGAGGGACTACTATAACATATATGTCTCTTAACTCATTATATATTAGTATATGACTGGAACATTTTTTTACACTGTGGAAGTGTAAGTTATTTAAATTATGAGTCTTGCTCAGTAAAGATGTTGCAATGCTGAGTTTTAGAGGATTATCCTGCACCGGGTAAGAAGCTGCACTAAACTTTTAGTAATTAGGATTTTGTGGAGTTTGTTTCCAACAACGCCCACCAACTATTCGACATGTGAGTTAAAGGTATTCAGTGTTTTGTGTGGTGTTTGAGAGGTGTGTGTGTGAGCGCTGACTAATTGTGGTACCAGTGGGGGAAGCTGCTCCGTTCTCATGAGGTCTTCATAGATCTCGCCACCAGCATAATCGTCTTCTAGGCCATAGACCGCTGCATACAAGTCATCTTCGTCCTCAGGAACATTCTCACTATGACATACACACACAAAAAAAATAAACACCACTGAAATCTGCTGATTATCAGTTAATTTTTGCATTCACAAGAGATGCAAGAAGTAACCTTTGTTACACTGGTTGAGTAACTCAGCATTAAATAACAATCACTGCGTTTAACATTCAGGAATTATGTATTTCCAAAAGGAATGATTCACAGAAATGAAAATTCTGGAGATTATTAAAAGCCTTATTTGCTACGAGCGTAATGCAAAAATTGCTCTATACACCTGTGATTACTCTTCTCTGTCGATCAATCACATTGTCAGCAGCACCCATCCAGATCCCTGATGTGGGTGTGCAAGCACTCAGCAAAAACATGTAGAATTACTCATTCATTTCCTCTGACAGTAACATCGAAACGGAGCCAAGCCAGTTAACAAAACATGTGGGTGTCCAGACCCCAGGAGAGCATGGATGATGAGCAGAGCTGGTTCTGCTACTGAGTGAAATAATCACGTTCTATCAACACTAGTAATGGGCCCACAGAGAGAAGCTTCATACATACTCAATCATGTCTTCCAGATTGTTGTAAATGTCCTCGTTTTGTAGGCTCTCGTCCGTTGGAAATGGCCTGGAAGTGACAGTAAAGTAGTATAAGCTTCAGTATTTAACAGAATAAATGCTCCAGTCGGGGGGGAAAGCACTGCTGAGTAACTTAGGACAAGAAAATAACTTTTGATAAATCAGCATGTATTTAGATATCAAGAGCAGTCTAATAGAAAAAGATGGAAACTTATAAAACCAAGTGTACTTTGTTCAAAAGAGGAAGACTTGCAATTGTTTAAAATATATTTTACACTAAAAAATGATTAATGATCACTTGTTAGAACTGCTGAACTGATCGTTGAGATCAACAGTATCTATTCTTAACTACTTTGCAGCCTGTGCTTCATTTCTGTTTTTGACATATTGATTTTGTATACTTACTCAACAATTATATCTTGTCTTTTAATTTAATACCACTGCTGTTTGCACAGTCAAGTATAAATAGAAACATTTTTAATCATTAACTAAAACAGCTGTTAAAGATGGAAATTAGACATAGCTATAAATGTGCTTGCAGTGTGGGTAAGGTGAGAAGGAGGAGGAGATAAGATATAAGTGAAAGGAAAGTTGACATGGTTAGATGACCTTTTTTTCCTAGAAATAACACTTAGAAGCAATTTACTGAAAACTTGATGACTTACTTGAATCCTCCTTGCTGAGCAACTGTCGTGTGAGAAAGCTTGGACAGAGTGTCCATAACCTGGAGAAACAAAATGTGAAATTACATTTGTTGGTTTGGTATAGAGAGACAGAAAGAGAGGACTGACTGAAGAGAGAGAGAGAGAGATATATACATGTTTAATAATGCAAATATATGACACTTATTGTGATTCCCAGTTTCAGAATTAAATCGGATTCACTGAGTTAAGCTTTCAATTTAAGCTTTAATTATCATATGAAAGTCAGATTTAAAGCTCTGATAGATTTCCTGCTTAATAACAATACCAGCTTGCAGGGTTAACAAGCCAAATCGAAACAAATATGGGTGCTTCACATAATTAATTACTTTTATCCAAATGTTCCAGCGTGGAAACAAGATGTATCAGGGTCTAATCGCAAGCAACACTGTGTACTTCAACCAAGACAGAGGAGCTGTCACAAAAACATACAATTAAATAACTAGCCTTCTTTTACTAAATTATGTATGGATGTGTTCCCATAGCAACATAAAGGGTCAAAATGTAGCTTTTAAGAAAATACTGAGCCCATGCATTTCTTATATAACAAATATTAAGGATGAATGGGCAGTTGCTGGGTTATTCTGTGAAGGAAGACTCACACACTAAGCTGAATGCACAACTTGAGGAGTTTGTCCCAAAGAAAAAAAAATGCCACTAATTGGAAACATTTTTGGCTTTAGTAAAGAAAACAAACAAAAGGAAGACAACAAAAAATGGTTTCTGCTATCGAAGGTAATACCACCATTTATTTATTTATGAACAAAGCAGGACAGCAATACCACAAAGGTAATACCACTAACCTGTTACAACACTTGGAGCACAATTTCAATAGCTGATTATATTTATAGTACAAACCTAGTGAACTATGAGTTTAGGTTATGTCGCCCTGGAGCTTACTCAGTCAATGTCTTGGGTGTGTCATTAATCACAATCTTTAATGAAGGAGCATTTTTGATGAGTTTTCCACTTGCAATTAATACGCATACAAATCTATCCCATCCCTAAAATCTATCTTTTGACATGAACGCAGCAAAAACCAACGCACAAACAAAAAGAAAGAGGCCACATGGAATTGCACAATAGATCATGTTATGACCATGTGAACAAACCTCACTTGCCCACAAGTAAAAGTTTACACTAAAACCACCAGTAAATAGCTGTAAGCCAAACTCACTGACCACTTTTAATGATGTAATGGTGTGAAGCACTGAGCATCATTTAAACGCCACATCTGTCCATCGCTTTATGTGTTTCTTGAACGCGACAATGAGTTGTCTGCACTCAAATAGCCTACAGTTACCAGCTCTCAGTGCAATAGCGCATCTTTGGGAACTGCGGTGAAACAGAAAATTCACATTATGGATGTGCAGCTGACAAACGTGCAGCAACTCTGTGATGCTATCACGCCAAGGCTTTCCAAAATTTATGACGAATGTTGAACATGTCATCAAGAATTAAGGCAGTTCCTAAGATAAAGTCAGACCCCACCACGTACTAGCAAGGCAGTCGTTAACGTATACGTGGCAGTTACAACAGTTTCCTTCACCAAAATAAAAGTTAGCTTCATTCAATTAGATTTTTTTTATTTCAATTCACACAATTATGTCGGGAAACTTCATTAAAGGTCCCTGTTAGTCAATATTAAGAAAGAAAACCCAGAGTGAAAAAGCACTTGGTGAGAACAGGTGGAAAAAGCTGCCTTGTGATAGGAATCAGTAAAATTATCAACTATTAGACTCTTCTGTATGGCTGAAAGGAGAACAAACGGGTCCCTACTAGTTAAACACCACATGATAGTAGCAAAATGTGTCAGCGCATGACACATGACAGATACACACGACACAGACGCAGCTGTTCCGAGCTGTCAAATTCACTGTTTCTTTGATTTTCATTTCTTTCTCAATTCCATCTTCTGTGGTTGTTAAATTACATATCAACTTATCTCACATCATAAAGAGAGAATTTTTTGTAACAGTTTACTCTCTAATAGCAGTCTCTGTGCACAGAAGCATTGCGCAAACTACAAGTTATTCTTTGCCTATATTTAAAAAATTTTGTATTTATTTATTTACTTTATGTGTTTTAATGTGTATCGTGATTAAAATTCAAATTATGAATGCAAAGAGGGAAAGGCCGACAGTGACAGGGAGATGAATTCTCTGGAAGGAACGTTAAACTCACACCATGTGTTACACTTTGTAATGTTCCATAAAATAGTCAAATGTGTGTCAAATTAGTACAAATGTTGTTACACTGACACCTCAAACAGTGCGTATCTGTAGGGGTGTGTGCCGAATTGCATTAAATCACTTTTGAGTTATGTGTTAACTACAGAAATACATGATCACCCTGCACATGACAAGGACATAAATACAGGTAATTCGCAGCTGTTCATCCTTAACATAAAAATGTAAACTCCTAATAATATTAATGCATGTGCAACACTGTTATCAGAAAAGTATTTGTCATATTTACTCAGAAAAAGGATTGGAAACATCACTTAAAAAAAATCACTTAAAACTGTGTAATTATATTTTTTTAAGAGGACCTGTAAAGATCAGTTCATGGACACTGATCATTATTTCTTTCCGCTGAGGTACTTGCTCATTATGAGATGATTAATTTCTTAAACTTGCTGTAGTTAGTGTCAATATATAGTCTTGCCAAAGCTTACAGTGCTGTCAGAAGTCTCTACAAGTGAAACATTGGAATGTAATGCAATGTCCCAATTACGACAGAAAAGTAAAATAAATACCAGTTATCTCATTCACATCATAGTTTCTCTCTATGATAAATTATCCAGTGACAAAGCTGCAAAGTTCGCAGTTACATTTTTGGATTTGCAGCTAAGATAGTTATTTGGGTTAGATATAGCAGCCTTTGAATCTTGAGTTTATCTCCCCTTCCTGTGTGAATAAGTCCTGTGGCTTTGGCTAAACCCAGGTGTGCTTATGACTTGAAAAGAGGCCCGTTTGTAAAGTGTACCCAGCTTTAAAAGTGCAACATTGTGATGTTTGCAGCACTGGAAATGTTTTGTTTGTTTGTTTGTTTGTTTCCCCTGCATCACTGTTTGCACTTAAAAAAATTAGATGCCATAGTGCAGCATAACGTTCCACAATGCAAACAATTATATTGATCTCTGTGAAATTTCTGCGAAAATCTAAGACCACTGATGTAAATGTAACCCTGCCCCTGCACACTTTGTCCACATCATAGCTGGTTTACTTCTAGTGATAGTGATAGCTACTGAATACAAGATTGAAAATCTAAAGAAACATATTAAAGCCAAACTTTTTTTTAGATGGATTCAGTGTAACTTGCACAAGAAAGGAGAAAGATCTCTTGTGAATACATGAAATGAACAATCTAACACTGGTTTAAATCACATTCATTTAGTGAAGTGTAAATCCTTCTAGGCTGTCTTTTTTAAAAAACAAGTTGTTCTCACACCTGACATGTCTGAAAGCCATTTGGCTGAAGCTACATGTGAGTTGAGAAGCAAAGCCACAAGCTAAGCTGAAGACCAACCGCCTTGGTTAGTGTGGCCTATTTACGATGTCTATCGTAAATCCCCGGAGCACTGTGAAAAAGACAGAGAGCTGTAACATCGGATAAGAAATCAAATGTTCATGTTTGCCACTCTGCAGGTGCAATGCAGTCACTTCTCTGTGAAACTTGTTCTAATTTTAGCAAGTACAAATAAATTCATCACACATTCTGCCCTGTGTTGTTTTTGAGTCCCCGAAATAAAATAGACGGTCCATCAAACTTCTGTAAATGCTCTCTTGTTTATGCAACTGCACAAAAGTAAAAAGATTGAAACTTCATAAAGGAGAAGCAACTTAGCAGTGAGGTGATTATTTGCCTCCTTACACTGGGTTTCAGTCCATTTCAGGATCCATTTAAAAATTGTATTTCTTGTTTTTAAGACTTTCGATGGATTAGCACCACCTTCTATTATAGATCTTTTGAAAATCCACATACCAGAGATCTATGAGCCAAATGCTCTTGATATCTTCCTAGATCCAGGCTTGAAAGCAGAAGTAACAGAGCCTTTTCAGCAGGGCCCTCTAATCTTTGGAACAATCTGTTTTCACATAAGATCTGCCCAGTTTGAAACTCTTAAATCATTTAAAAACTCTTTTACACACACACACACACACACACACACACACACACATATATATATATATATGGAGAGAGAGAGAGATTAAACTTTGACTTTACTTGACTAGTGCAGCTGACAATGATCATTTTTCATTATTATTAACACAGAAATAACGGCACTAAATATAAAGGTGAAACTTTACATGGTGTGATGATACTAATGGACCATACAGTGATAATCTCTACATGACAGATTTTCAGTTTGGTTAAAGGAATAGATTGACATTTCAGGAAATACATATATTTGCAATAATCAAGGTTGGGGAAGAAGATTAATACCACTGTCTAGTTTGAATGCTAAATATTAGCTTTACCCAGAAATAGGAACAGGCAGTGTGACAGTGTAGCTCTATCCAAAGGAAAAGCATGTTAAAAGACATGTTAATTTAATCGTTTTGGCAATATATATATATGAAATTCATATTTCTTTTGTTTTGTGAAATTCTGTGCTGAGACAGACACCGAAGTTTAAAATGATAATTTTCCTGGTAGCAGACGGAGATTCTGATATTTTTTTCTACTTCTTTCTTTTATTTTCCAAGTTATTTGTTCAATATTTAACAGCAGAGAAACAAACTTTGCAGAGTTAAGCATCAAAGCACACATTTAAAACGGTATTTTCGCATTCTTCAGTGTGTGATGGTACCAACTGATCACACAGTGATAATCTGTGCATGAAGGTTGCATTTCGCAAGTTAAGGTAAGAAAACCGACAGCGCTCATATTTCTAAACGCTAAATATTAGCTTAGCGCAGAACAGTGAAACAGATCGCTTGATGTAACATCCACCTACCTACACTTAATTAATTAAATTAATAAATATTTTATTTGTTTTTTATTAAATGATGGGCAGATATGGACATTTAAGTTTAAAACAACAATTCCCCGACAACAATTCCAGTTATCCATATGCTATCAGCGTATTTCTTTCATAACAAAAACCTGAATGGTTTAAATCGTTTTGTGTTTTTCACATTTTTATCACACAATTTTCAAAAAATTTGCAATTGCAAAATTGATGTTTTGCAACAGATAAACACTGAAAACTGATATCGCTGAATACGATCCTGTTCGCCGATATGCCGATACCACTCAACAACACTGACACTGGCCAGAAATGAGACTGTTAACACTTTAATTTCATTTCTACAAAGATTTGAATGTAAAATATATCTGTCAAAAAGCTCAAATAATAATGTTTAGAATGTATAATAATGTATAGATACAGCAGTTCTGGGGTAGGCAGGTAAGGAATACACCATGCATAAATATGTAACATGATAATTATTTATAGTGGTAGGGAATTTTACTGACGTCTTTCAATGTTTTTAGCTTAAGCCAAACTAACAGGTTGCTAATAATATGATTATATTTTATGTGCTGACATGTGTTATCAATGTTCTTATCTTACTCTCAGGAAGAAAGTGTGAAGTTATTTCCCAAAAAGAAAAACCGCATGAACTTCGCACAAAAATAATGTTGTTTTGTGAAAATATTAATAGTAGTTTATACTGAAGGAAGAAATAAACACAATTCTTGCCCCTCTGCTTTATCTCTCTAGCCTTCAGCCTTCTACGTGCAGTCAGTTTGACTCCCTGCAGTGAAGCCTGTAGTAACTCAGCTGAGAAATGTAGGTTACAGAGCTCTCATTAGATATTCAGTGGACTAATACTCAGTCCACAGGCAGAGCTGGCACAACTCGACCCCAAGTGGATTACACTGGTTGAGATTTGAGATGTTCCTTTTTTGGATTTTTCTGTAAAAAAAAGAAGAGATTGAGCATTTCTTCTTTAGACATACAGCCCTTCATGGAGCCAATCCAACCCAACTGCTTAACCTACAGTCACCCGTATTTCTAACTACCAATAAAAAAAAGCAATGATCTGGTGCAATCTTTATCCTCCAGAGGCTTGTTTGTTTGATGGACAACCCTTGAACATGGCTGAGATTATGCAGCCCGGCTTGGATGTAGTGTACATATTTACAAGCCCTACCTCCCCTGTGGGATTATCAGCAGCCAGATTAACTAGAAGCTTCTTTAGAGCACAAAACACTGAACTGAAAGAAAAGAGAGCCTGAATGAGAAACTACACACACAGCTTGGTATGCACTCTCATAGTTCACGTATAACCACTTCCATTCTACAGAGGGAGGTGAATTCACTATTGCAATCATATATAGTATGCCTAAGTTATGATGTATATAAGATATATGGTATTACTTTACCAAACTAAACTCATGAGATACCATATACATTATTTAGACACGATAAGCATTCAGGCAAAACAACTAAATGTAAAAGAAATGTAACAAGAGACAAACAAGCCTATTTAAGCTTCAATAGACTGGCGAACTGGCCCAGGTCTGCCCTGCCTCTTGCCCCATGTCATGTCAAATAGGCTCCGGCCTTTCTGGAACAGTGAAATGGATAATGAGTTAAGAAAACGCATGGATGGAGCCCAATCTTATGTACTTCAGAGGTAAAAAAAAAAGTCTCAGATAAAATACATTCAGCATAGATTAATACATATGCTCCAATAGTTTTATTTTTAAAAAAAAAAAAACTATAATTTTCTTCAAGCCTCTCAGTGCTTAGACAACTCATAATGCCCCCAGGTAAAATGGTGTACTTAAATAGGGAAATGTGGGAATAAGGCTCCTCAGAGTAAGTGTGCTTTCCGTGGCGAAGTTAAATTAGGCTCCTGTGCATTAAGCGACAGTCCGCTGAGTGGCTGCACAGAGCGCACTACAAACCCACTGACCTGGTAACGCTGTGTACACACACTGAAAACAGGTCCCACAATAACACAGCAATAAAAAGAAGTCAGCCAAACCCTTCAAAAAGCTAGGGTAGGCAAACAGCGAACGCTTTCAGACTCACACACAGAGAAGAAGCACACGTACACTATGCTTCCATCATACCTCAGACTTGTATTTTAAAGAGTTGGCAGGATTTATAGATCAATTAGGACAGAAAAACAGAGCAGGTGTGGCATCACTTACACCAAAAGTCAGCTACGAAGACAATAATGCAGTGAAACATCACAAGCGTATTGCTTGTTTTGAAAACGTTATCATCTGTTCAAGCTGTTTTGTAAAACACTGGAAAAATTATTTTGTCAATTAATTGTTCTTTGACTCTTTCTTTAAAAAAAAGAGATCCGTTACAGAAAATTCTCTTTTTAGACTTTTTACATAATGATTTTCTTTTTTTAGATGGATAATGTCTAAGTTTGGACAAAATCTATCATAACACTTACTCTGAACTATTACTTATGTCTAATATCTGAGCAATGGAGAAAAACTGTAAACTGGTTAACTGAGACAGACAATCTGCACAGTTATTATTACCAGTTCAAATGTAATAGTGCTGTGACATGTAATGTATTCACTCAAACTAATTTACAGACTTTTATAAATGATTCTAATAACTGTATGAAAGGAGAGAAGAATGTCATGATACATGAAATTACTGGGCTGTTTCATAGTGCAATGTTAGAAAATCATAATGACAGAAATGGGTGCTACCTTTCCAAAGTCTCGGACATCGAAGAGATCAAAGGCTTCAAATAAGTCACTCTTCTTCATCCCAAACACATCACAGCAAGAGGCCAGAAATGTCCGGATGTTTTTCAAGCACAGGAACTGCAAAGGGCAGAAACAGACTGTTATATAACATAAAAAGTTGTATGTAGATAGATTTCATTTTACATTGTTTACATTTTTTGTAACTAGTTTTTGTTTAAATACATATGTGAAAACATAAAAAGTTGTTTTTAAGGTTATCTCAACCCGAACTCAGTACAAATTACAGGTTTCAAGAGGGTTTTATCTCCACAAGATTTTTAACACTCATCATAGCGAAAAACTAACACCAAAGTACAGTAATCTGACTTTTTTTTAAATAAACAATTTTACTTGGAATTATTTTGAAGAAACGGATCTTATGTTCCAAAACTGCTGACAGCACTGTTTGCGTTTTTTCCTAGAATAACAGTCGTGCTGTTTCTGAAAATACCTGTCGCTGTTGAATTAGTTACGTGGGATCTCATTTAATCTAGAGCTAGCAGACAAAAATTAAGTCAAATAAAAACTAAACTACCAACATGAGTAGATACCACAGTAACATTAAAAGTGTACTTTCCGTTGTTTGGAAAATAAAAACAAAGTCTTTAACCTCCTTTGTAATGTAAATCAAGTTTAATTTACAGCATAATTTAAAGCACCAAGAATTTAAAGTCCCTTTTCTAAACATAAAAGTAAACTACAGCCCCTACAAACTGAAAATGAAAAATGAAAGTTTTATACTGTGAAATGAAACCGCCAACTATGTCCTCTGTTGGTGTCACTTCCTATTAGGATCTTTGTGTTAGTGGGAAGACAGCAGCCAACAGAAACATTGGACATAAAGTTATGGTTTAGAATTCAAGATACTCGTCTTTGTCTAGTTTGAGCACTTCAGTTAAAAAGAAAACGTATACAGCACTGTTAGATCGCCTCAGTTCATTTTTCCTGTCAAACACATTGCTGAGAAATGGCTGATTTAGAAACTGAATATTTAATAACTTAAGCAGTAAGTAAGAAAATTCTTGAGAACAGATAGGCTTCTTTTTATCACATCAGCTCATCATGGAGACGCCTGTAATCACTCCGCCGCCCCCAGGGGCCCTGTTTGTCTACGGAGGAAGTGCAAGAACATGATGGCTTTGCACCACCAACAGCCTCATGCTTTTGAACACAGTCACAGCCCTGGTGCACATTCTTTTATTCACATTTAGAGTAACACCCAGAATCTCTGGCTCCGCGATAATAAAAATACTATATTTATACACCTTTTAACTTTACCATTTTTCATTTCTCATTTTCAGTTAATTGTGGTCTGTTTGTGATTTGTTTAGCTAAGTTTACTTCCTGTTATATTTAAACTAGAATACTTTAAAAAGCTTTTACTTTGTATAACTTTGGAAGCAAATAAGAGAGGCAGTGGGTACAATGCGTATTTGTTCATATTTGTTCATGACTGACATAGTCAAAATGGTTATGTGAATTGTTATTTGAATTTGTACCAAAACTCAGCATACAACACGGGTCTTGGGTAACCTTTCATCAGTGTACACTTTAGTCGTGTTCACCAGTGCCCTTGTTTCTTTTTTCGAAGATAGATGAGAATGAAAGAGCCATTTAAAATATGGAGCCCACTGACACACATGCCTTTTGCAACCATTGCCAAGTGGCCTACAGCTACAGGCTATGTCCATCCATTGTTTGGCCTGTTATGCCCTGGGTTTGCTTTAACTCTCTTTTAAAAAATATTAAAGAAAAGCACATAGGCACTGGTGAAGCAGATAGTGCAAAGCATAGCACATGTGCATAGTACAGTTTGTGAGACAGAGCCCAATCACTCATGCAGATCTATCACTACAAAAAAAATATCATCATGATGATCATATCATGGTGGCAGCTCATTTCAACCAAACTGTATATAATTTGCTTTTAGTGCCTAACTATTTGATGTCAGCTAACAAATTATAAAATGTATTTGTGTGTGTGTGTGTGTGTGTGTGTGTGTGTGTGTGTGTGTGTGTGTGTGTGTGTGTGTGTGTGCATCACGTCACTGTCTTTTTATGGTGTATTATTAACGGTTTCTTTGACTTTAATCGTTCATTACTCTTTCAACTAGATGCAGAAAGATCTAATCACCTGCCTGAGTCTGCTGCTGAACAGGAAGTGCTGCTGTTACAGTAACGTAGGAGCACAGAAAAAGTAGAAATATATTGGTAACCACGGCAGGCTTTAATTATGTTTGTAGGCACACCTGCAAATACATATATTACACCAAGGAAGATGCTTTTAATTTAAAACATTAAATTGTTATGTTTTGTTTTATTTTATTTAACTGGCCAAGACAGTAATGCAAGAGATTTAAATAAAAATTAGCTTAAAATTGGCTTATTACACATGTCATATGCCATCAAACCAAACGGCAAGCCACTGCACAAAATGTAGTTTCCCAACTAATGGGTGGATCAAAGGCAGGATTTTATCAGATGTCTCCAGAGCCTTCAGCTCCTGAAGGGTTACTGCATGAGCAAGGAGAAGTCTATTTGGACAATTTTTTAGTGTTTCCCAAACCAGACAAGTTTCACACAAGCTAAAGAACTTTCTCTCCTATCCAGAAAAAAACAAAGATCAAGACACCAGAACAGGACACAGAAAGTGAAACATCATCTTCACAATAAAAGAAAAGGGTGAAGATATCTGTCAGAGGCCACTCCACGGCTTTAGTGAAACTTATCTGTTGGACCCAAAGCCAAATAAGACAGGACACAAATAAAACGGTGCGTAACAGATGGAAATAATCTAAAGCTCGCCTTAAGCTGCAAATCCTTAGAATTTGCGGTTTTATTTTGAAAATATGGAATAACTTAAAGGGAAAATCTCACCTAAGTCTAACCTTTAATAAAACTGGAACAGGCTTCTGTACCCTAATTACTGTAGCTCCTTGCAGGCAGAACAACAAAATATAAAACGCTCTAATATAGCTTCCACCATTTCTCTTCCATGTATTTAGGAACCTTATTTAGAATTGCTACAGCTTGATCTTCTTAATAAGGAGCTGCAAATATGTCTTTGTCCACTTTCACAAATTTTTGATTAGGCGTCCTCTTCCACCAGCGGAACTACTTTGGTTCTTTACCAGTGGTTATTGGGCTAATAAACTGACTTTTCCTGGACACCACTATAGGTTTAGCTTATGGCATGTTAGTGAACGCATGAATTTGATTTCACAATATTTTTTACAAGTAATTCGTAAAGTAGCGCATAAAATGATGGATGTACCTGTGACATTTGTGGCCTGAGATTGATCTCCTTTAGGTTGATAGTGTGGGGTCTTAGGTTGTTGAGTAGCTGGCACAGCAGCACCCCGTCCCGCAGGGTTTGCGCCAGGTCGAACACCTGCGCCGTGTCCGCAGTTACCCGGTGGTTCGCAGGCAGCACGTTGCAGCTGATCAGCCACATCGCACATTGCCTCCAATACTCCATGTTGGCGAAGAGCGGAATAAACCGCAGGCCAATGTTAAATTTAAGAACTTTGTCCGCTTATGAAGTCTGTGCACGGCATGGGGAAGAAGCTGCGTCCTGAGCCATCCTCATGTCTCTTCAAACTCCAGCATCGCCTCTGGAGGACAGACGAGCCGCTACAACTTATGAAAGCTGCACAGATGGGGGTGGCTGTTCTGAAACCCCCTGTGTTTGAGTGAACTTCCTCTTCCTTATTTTGTAATCTTTCCGTTCCTAAGCGTCTTATTTTGCTTGTTTGTTTGTTTGTTTGTTTGTTTGTTTGTTTTCTTAGTTATGTCCCCTTATTTATGAAACGAGTCATGTGCAGAATTTTACGAAAAAAAGTTGTGGAAAATCAGGTCTTTGTAAGGCGTCTGTGCTTTTAACACATGAGCAATTGTTTAATCATACGTCTGTGCAGAAATGTTCTCCTGTTCGCCACATCTCTGTGAAAGAACATTGATTCACCTTTTTTTTTTTTACTTTAATTTCTCTACTAAAGTTGCAGGCAACGGATAAAAATATTCTTATTTACTCATAGATTTGCTGGTTTCTTTGTATTTGAGGAACTGTCAGTGATCATTCGCATGTTTCAATTAGAGCAAGGGGCAAATCACTTGAAACAGGTTTAGTTCTTCTGCCACCATAAACACCACTTGAAAAGTCAGACGACCGCAGTCAGTGCCCTATACTGGCCAGACGGCTATGCACTGATATAGGGAACAATATAAAAAGACGTGGCTTCCATTGTGCATCAAAAGTATTGGTAGGAAATTTGTCAGAACTCAATAAGCATGCGTGCAGTTATCGGATCGCGATTTTTATGCCGTGATAACGCCAGAGCATTTTACAGCAACCTGTAGGGGGCGCCAGAAACGTACAAGCTTTCTTCAAAATCATTGTGGATTACAGCCTACTCGACATAATTGTCATTTCATGACAGTTGTGTTATTTGTAAGCCCGGGCTTTGTGGACACATATCCCTTGGCCTTATAGGTGAAAATCAAAAAGGTCCCAAAATTAATAAGTCCCAATCAGCCACATGCACTGAAGTTCCCCTACCCAGAAGACTTGGAAATTTAAGGCTACCATGATGGATTGAGTCTAATTTACATTATGTGGAAAATTGAATATGGATAAACTGAGCAACATACACTCAACAGTCGCCTCACAACAGGCATCTCGGTGAACTGTATAAATGAATGAATACGCTTGTGCTAGTAGTATCATCGTTAGACTGAACTTGGATCATTGCAGTCTTTGTTCTGTGCTCTAAAGAATCACATGCAAGTAAGTGGGTGAATGAGTGTTTGGGGGGGAGGGGGGGGTGTTCAGTGGTTTGTTAGGCTATTAATATGACCTTGTAGCCTCCGGTGTTATTCTTGCTGTTTGCAATTGGTCTTGACCTTAATAACCTTTACATTTTGTTCAATGGAAAAACATTTAAATGAAATAATTAAACATTTGCAATTTCTTTTCAGTGTTTTGCAAATTCTGCGTTTTGCTGATGTTCAATAAATTAAATGTTCACTTGAATTAAATATAAACTAATTTTAAGTATTATTAATGTGTTCTTATTTTTATTATCATCATCAATGTTATTATTATTATTATTATTATTATTACTGTTGCGGAGGAAAAGAAGCGTTGATATGAAATATAACTTGTTCTCATCCACTAGCTTGTATTGTATTGCTGGCTTTTTTAAAGATAATCTCACTTTGTGTGCTGTAGAAGAGATTCTGCCTGTTTCTTGTACTGTAATTAGTCAATATGACCCATCCCAGTGGTCTCAGCAACTACAGGACAAAGGTTTTTGCGCATATGGTCTTGTTCATATTATTATTATTATTATTATTATTATTATTATTATTATTATTATTATTATTATTATTATTATTATTATTATTATTATTATTGTCGTTGTTGATGCCGATGGTTAATCTCTGCGTACCAAACTTCCGGTAGAAAAAAAACATGCGAGCACGAAACCGGAAATGTAACTAGAAAAAAAAAAGAAAAAAAGAAAAAGCTGAACCGTCAAAACATAAACAGAGCAGGCAATCTTATGTGAACGCAGCTAGCTCGCAATATAGTCTGACTTTTCAAAAAAGCTTTATGCACGCATTCCTCATGTCGTGTGTTTTTCGTCATAGAGTTCCTAGTCAAGGCACTTAGCTCATTTGCTGAGTAGCGAGGTGGAGCAAATAAATCTGCAATAAAGATTAAGACTAAACTAAGAAGTACGCCTCGTCGGGCCTTCGACTACAGGTAACGCTAGCTGTGCTAGTTAGCGAGTATAAGCAATGCTAGCCGCTTGTTTGCATTTTGACCAGTAGCTGGTTAGTTGTGCAGCACAACTTGGAAAACTGTGTTTTAGTTTCGACATTTGTTAGCCTCGAGTTTGCTAGGTAGCATTAGCTTATGGTAATAACTGTCAGGCAGTCAAGCAGTTCTTTTATACAGGACAATACATAGTTAAATATCACAAAGCAAAACAGGCCCGTGATTCGGCTAACAAACGACTTCGTTTGTTTATATCTTTACATGCAGCGGTGTATAGCTTGTAAAATTAGCCAGACTGTTAGTTTGGAAGCTACGGGGCTAACAGGTAACTTGTACCCTATTGCAAATAGTGTCAAGTCGCTATTTGGCAAGAGCTTATCAAATGAAAGCCGTGGCGTCGCCTCGTTTATAGCACACAAACTGTCCAGTCTGATTTTGAGTAGTTGTCAATGCACCATTAATTTTGTTTTTGTGTCCAACACGAGGTTGTACCTCGGGTCGACGCAGGACTTCACAGATACAATGGCTGAGGCTGACGGCAAATCCACGGTGCTTAACGGTAAAACAAGTCAGTTTATATACTAATGACAGCAGTGCATGGTGTCATACTCCGCAGTAGTCATCAGAGTTCATCAGAGAAAATGTTTGGCTTCAATAGGTGGCTCTGAAGAAAAGGAGCCTGGAGAAGACCGACACAAAGAGGGGGATGCCTCTGGAAGCAAAGAGGGGCAAACACAGTCTTCCTCTCAAAATGGTAACTCTTATAGTTTTAGTACGGTGGAAAAATTTCATAATGAGTTTTTCCTACTATATATGACTAACCATCTACATATTTGTCTTTTTCTTTATGTATTTTATGAATTTCCATAGCTCCCAAAGAAACAGCTGAAGCATCTGGAGACAAATCTATGCCAGATGTAGAAGGAGAGACGGGCACAACCAGGGAGGGAGAAGAGGATGAAGATACAGACAGCATGGACGGCAGCGGCCTGTACTCTTTAACTGAGGATGGTGAAAGGGAGAGCGAGGGAGGAAGGCGAGAGAAGGCCAAAGAAAAAGATGGTGGGAAAAGGGCAGCTAGAAAGAGAAACAGACCTGGCGGCGGCACTAACCACTCCTCAAGTTCAGATGATGATGACGACGACGATGATGATGATGAAGAAGAACAGAAAGATGATGATGACGACGACGATGATGATGAAGCTATGGAGGCATGGCTCGGGGCAGAGCTCCGTGACATGCGTGGTCCTGTGTGGCGGGCGGTACCCTCGCTGCGCTCCAGAGAGATCGGCAGGGACTCGCACCAGTTTGTGAGGCGCGTGTGTGGGGCTCGTGGCCTCGTGCAAAGGCTGGAGCTCCAAGGCCGATTAGAGAGGCATACAGGTTGTGTCAACACATTGCATTTCAATCCATCAGGCACACGCCTGGCATCAGGCAGCGATGACCTGCGTGTGGTGATCTGGGACTGGGCCATCCGTCGTGCTGAACTGGAGTTTGACAGTGGACACAAGAGCAATGTCTTTCAGGTAAAACACAAAAATAGGACTACAGTAGAGGTTCATTATTAGTTAGTCCTTTAGTTATTTTTCCAAATAAATGTTAGTAATATTAATGTGTTAGTGTTCGATACAGCAGAAGGAAAAATCTGTGTTTTTTTTTTTAATGTTCTAAAAACTTCAGTTTCCTTCAAGAGTTAATAAGATGATGTTTAAATTATTGAGTAGTTTTTTAATATTCTCTTCTTCTCTTATTTGATTGTTTCATCTGTTGAGACAAAATAAGTAGCTTTCTGGGACTTTTTCCTTATAAGAAGCTATAATCATTATACCACAGAAACAGTGATAAAAAAGTAGAATGTGGAAACAAGACTAAGTTAGAGACAAGCAGTAAATTGCTATTTGATGATTTATTTATTGTTTTTATTATTTTATAATAATCCATTATTAAAAAAAACCAAACTTACAAGACAGATTGAAGTGACTAATTCATGAGCATAATTTAATCAAGTTAAATTGTGGTTATAAAATGCATGATTGGGCTACCCCTGGCTTTAATTTAGGCAAAGTTCCTGCCTCACAGTGGGGACTCCACCTTGGCCATGTGTGCTCGTGATGGTCAGATCAGAGTGGCTGAGCTTTCTGCCACACAGCGCTGCAAGAACACGAAACGGGTTGCACAGCATAAAGGCGCTGCACACAAGGTCTGTGAGAGGAAATCTTTGTCCAGTGGTGTTTAAGACTCTTAGAGACAGCTGAATTGGTATCATATCAATTTTTTGTTTTGTATTTTTTAGCTGGCCCTTGAGCCAGATTCACCTTGCTCCTTTCTGTCAGCTGGAGAGGATGCTGTTGTATTTGGTATTGACTTGCGTCTAGACCGCCCTGCCAAGTAAGAGTCAAGATTTTTTATTATCATTATGTATTCACATAACTGAATTCTGTGCAATGGCTCTCAGCTAAGTACTATTAAGTTTCACATTCAGCTAGTTTTGTCACAGTGAGTGTAGAGTGAGACTTGCTGTGGATTGACAAACCTGTCTTGCGCACCATGTGAGCAAAACACATAAACAGAAATTTTAGGTTGATCAGTGGTAATACTTGTGTTCTTTTGTGTCTCCTTGTATCTTTGTGGTAGTAAACTGGTGGTTGTAAAGGAGGGTGATAAAAAAGTGGGGCTGTACACCATCTTTGTGAACCCAGCAAAGACACACCACTTTGCTGTTGGCGGGAGAGATCAGTATGTGAGGTATGAACCAGGGAATAGTAAAAATGCTTTTTTCCCCACTCTAAAGAATCCATTATCATTGTGGTATGATACAATTTTGTCACTTAAATGTTATTCTTTGACTC